CTTTACTCAAAAGTTTTATATTTATTGCACACAATAGTTTGAAAATTGTACAACTTTAATCCATCCTTTTTAATTTTTTTTATATTAACCAAAAACAAAATTTATGCATGGTTTTACACTTGACAATGATGAAAACTAAAAATTTTAAAAAATATTATGAATAAAAAAAATTCAAAACATTAAATGTCTTCAGTATATTATCATGATTTAGTATTGTATATTACCAAGTATTTGACACATTAGAAATCTGAATTTTTAATTTTTTTTAAAATGCCTTAGCTATTTTTGTTATAAAACGTCTTTGAAAACCACCAGTCTAGTTTAAGAAATTGAGTCTGTTGTTGTAGCTTTTTCTGATTAAAATGTTCAATTTTAATGAGAAAAAGTTACAGTAAATTGCTTATCCAGATTTTTCCCATTGACCTATTAAAAATATTATTGCATATGTTTAAACTTTTTTCCACGGAAATGCATTATAAATTAAAAAAGAAACAAGTTATTTAATCTCAAAAGTAATCAAATTGGGAATAATTACAATTACAATATGTTTTAATAATAGTTTTTCTTACTTGCTTTTATTCTAAAGAACACTGCATAACAGTTACCGTAACTTAATGCTGTTCTTCAATGGGCTTTGTTGTTAATACTTATTCTTGGAAATTTTTTTACCAAATCTGTGATTTTTTTAAAAAAAAAAAGTTAACATTTTTTTAAATATTAACTTTTTGGGTTGTGGGGAAGTTGTTTTTTTAAATCTTAAGAGAAGTTTCACAGGTCATGATTGAAAATCACTTTCAACTCCAACAGGAATTGCTTCACTTATTGAATTGAAGTTTATCATAGCAACATGAAAAAAGAACTGCAGGAAGCTTACATTCAGGATTGGCATATATATATATATAACTTTCTCAAGGATAAATAACTTTCTGTCCAGTAAAAATTTTACTAGACATTTTTCACACTAATATTTCATTATTAAGTTTAAACTTTAGGTTTGTTAATCATAAAATAAAATCTAAATTGCGCTAAATTTTTTTGATACAAAATAATTCATATAATTGACTTGAACCATCCACAATCTTTAAAAAATAAATAAACACGGGATTCGCAGAAATTATTATCCATTAAAATTAAATACACTTTTTATTTCTTTCATCAAAATGAATTTAAAAAAAATTAAATTGTTAGTTTTAATGATCAACTTCTAAATTTTTCAATATACTTGTAAACTATTTATGAAAGAAATGCTATAAAAAATACACATTTTTGATAATCTCTAACAGTGGTAATGATATTTACTGATTGAGAAAAGTACCAATGAAATTTTTCTGATAAACATTTTTTAAAGTACTAATAGGAAATTACAATGAATACAATGGTTTTTAAATAGAAATTACATTAAATAAACATCCTTTCCAGAAAATATTATGTTTTTGGATATGTATTTATATTTTATTTTAAAGTTTTCTGCTAATTTTCAAGGTAGAAAACATATAAAAAAAAAGTAGTTAAAAAAATCTGACAAGCATAAAGAGGTAATAAAAATTTTATTTGATTTAAATGCTATTTATACTCAATAAGTTTGCTTCCCCTTTTTTCATTTTATTATGAGGTATAAATTTCATATTACTAATGGTTATTTTTGGTAATTTACCAAAATAATATTCATGTTATTAAAAAAAAATCTAACTTATGTTACATACATTTCTAAATAATCAAATAATTTTATGAATACAGTCAACTGCGTATAAAGGAATACCATTGGATCTATCCAATAGTATTCAATTAAGTGTGTTCTTCGATTCAAAGGGGAGTGCATTATTCAATCTTAAATGTTATGTATATATAAAATTTTATTTTTAAATTTTATGTACTACATAGTATAATGTTTTCAAAAAATAAAAATTTCACAATCAATAAAAAATTATAATGAAAGTTTCCAATGTTAGTATCATAATAAACTAATGACATTTAAATTCATATAAAAATAAATCAATGGTATTGAAAATATTATTTTGCTACTACATTATTTTCTTTTCTTCTAAAAATTCTGCGACTGAAAACTGATTTGATACACATTTAACTGAACATTTCTCTATTTCTTTTTTTAAGTTATAAAATACATTGTAGTTCCCTCCACTGCACTCAAAATGACGCTTTATTGTGGCTAAAAAATTGTAAACCTTATTATTTGATGTAGGAAGGGGTAGATATTTTAAATCTAACTGAACTCTATTTGAACTCTTCTAATTCAGAATTCAAAATTTCTTCTACATCATCTTATTAATTGATGTAGGAAGGGATAGATCCTCTTGTTCCTCTTCTACTTGCTTGTCTCCTTTGGCTCTTCAAATTTACAAACTTCATCCGATCATTATCTGTCATGTCCAACTCTTCTAATTCAGAATTCAAAATTTCTTCCACATTATAGATAACTGTTTCATTATCTCTGATATCTTCCACACTCTTTTTAAGCAGTCGTAAATCACCTCCATTAGAACACTATCCCATACTCTTTCCGTAAATTGCATTGCTGTGTCTCATGAAGCATCTTCCATGAAACGCAAGACCTCTTGAATCACTTGCTGCTGAATTTATCACAAAATTATCAAGAGGTTGAATCTTGCAAGTTGTAACAGTGGAAAGAAATTGTAAATTAATGCTGGTTCACCAAATGGAGTAGCTAATGTATGGTTTGAAACATTGACAAAAAATTAAACTATTTTTTTATTCAACCATTTAAAATCTACATCTAAATTTACCAACCATTTTCAAAAAATGTTTCTCGTCACATATGCATCCATTGTCGTTGCAAATGCATATACAGAATCAGACATTTTCTTAAATCTCTTTTTAATTACCTCAAATATTTGCATTTTCCAATCGCAAAATATGCTATATAAATGTTATATAAATATTTACCACCAATTTTCGAAAAATGTATCTCCTCAGCCATGCAATTCGAGAATGTGTATAGAAAATCAGGCATTTTTTTAATACCTTTCACACACTTTAGCTTCTAGCATTTTGCAATCATTAAGGGCTCAAGCTTTTTCGTATCTGTTTAAGTTGCACAAAAAAATAAAGACACACTACATTTTTTTTATAACCCGAGACTTTTTTCTTCAAGTCTAAAAATAGCACACCATGTCTTGAATGATACACAAATACGGCTGTACCTTCCTACATTCTAAATGGTGTGCAAGGTGTCTACCCGAATCCAAGAAAAAGAATTCATTACTTCAAAACAAATGTTCATGATTTTTTTTCATGGTAATTTGCTTTTAATACTTTTATTTTTTGTTTAATAGAAATTTTTGAATTTAAACAAATGTTATTGAATGCATTTGACATTCATTCATGGTATTAGTTAAACATAAAAAGAAATTTTTCAATAAACTATTAACCAGATGCATTGCTAATTTAGTGAGTGAAATGTTGGTGATATGATTTTCTGAAGCATTATACATTACTCAAATAGACATATGGAATAAAAAATTTTAAATTTGCTTCAAGTATTGTTATTTTTCTATGTAATTTGATATTTTGAGCAGGGTAATTTGGAAGCAATAATTTAAGTAAGTCGAAAAATAAATTTAGAATATTATCTAATGGTATTAAATTAATATCGCTTTTTCAACTTTTCTTTAAAAAGAGGTACACAGAAAAACAATTAAAAAATATTAGCTAAGAATAAAGTCTTTAAAAAAAACTACACTGTAATTTACAATACACATCTAATTATTTACATAAAAATACACTGTATTACTCAGCATTGCAAATTTAAGCTTTTAAACTTTGTTTGTGAGACTGAAACAAAACAGTTTCCGATATTCCTACTGTTTTATCATTTTTACTGCAGGTTAAGAGAAACACACACAGAACATTAAGTTTTATTTTAATATGGGTTATCATAATACACAAATTTCAAAATTGGGCTATAATTTTTGATGTGCTTAATTCTGGGGGATTTCATTGTTTCGATTTCATAACGTTTATGATCCTTTTTGTCAGCCCTTTCCACATATTTTCTTTAGTTTTTATTTCAAATTCTACTATTTTTAATATGATGTTATTATGAAACACGAATTTGAGTAATTACTTCTCAAAGTGCTTGATTTTTGGCAATTCCATCATAAATCCCAGTAGTTTTTTTTAAGTAGTATTAATCGTTTACTGTCCTTTCACACAGACTTCCTAATATTTTAATATTTTTAATATGATGTTATTATAATACAAGAATTTCAAATTTGAGTTAGCACTTTTGGATGCACTCTATTATGGGTTATTTCAGTGTAAACCCATGTTATTTTCTGATCGTTTTTTAGCACTTTCAGCATTTTTTTCTTCCTAAATTCTGCTAAATTCATTACAGTAGCACCAAAACATGATTGACTGGAGTCATCATAGTCACTAGTACACATACATATATCAGAAATAACTCAACCAATATCTTCACACCTGATTGTAAAATCAACGGCAGAGAATTTAGTAAGAAAAAAGAGAGGAATAAATAAAATCTTTTCTTATCTAAGCATTATTGATATCTTTGAGATTATTAAATATTTCAAAGCAACTTAATAGATACAATATCTACATGAATAAACTCTTCGACATGGAAAACTCTAAAGAGTTCCCTTTCAGGCAGAAAAAGGATTCTATTTTTTCCATGTTAACCCTTGGGAAATTTTACATCCAGAATTTCCTAATTCACTAAGTAACTAGTTAATATTTTATTTCAGAACTTGAATGTAAACAAACTGAAAACTTTAAAAAAATGTTTTAAAAATACTTCGCACCTTTGAATTAAAAATTTGAACACTAAGTTCAATATAACACATTTAAATGGAATCAGATGAAACCAAAAATATTAATCAGTTATGAAATGAATTCAGAAATTTCAGACGTATAATTCCCCAAAGGTTAATATGGAGGAAGTGGAATTCCTTTTCAGCCTTAAAAGGTCTTTTAATAAAAGAATGCAAAAAAAACCTACTTACTTTTTAACCTTGAATCATTATGTAATGCTTTTGATTGTCTCCATGTACTATAGAAGTAGATAAAATTTTTACTAACACATATTTTACAAAAAACTAAATATAACTTTATTATCAAAACATGACATGACTCATTTTAAGAGAATGCTAGCAGCAACACATTCAAGACTTAGTATTAATTTTATGAGGAGATAACAAATATTTGTGATTTACTCATTCTTTCTATTATTATTATTAAATACAGTAGAACCTCACAAATCCTTAAATTTGAATCAATATTACTTCTTAAAAAAATTATAAATGAACAAAATCTTTGTGAAAATATTTATAAAATGACTATGAAAAAACAAACAATTGGTAAATAATCAAATACCAAAAAATAATCAAATAATAAAAAAGGACAAAATATAGATTTTAACAAAGGTGAGAACTATTTAAAATAAGATAAATTCTTGATAGTTCAAATTTATATTTCTTCTAAAAATTATCACAGTAGAGTCTCGCAAGTTCGAGTTTAATATAAATTCGAGCTAATGAAAAAGAAGGCAGTCTTGCTCCCAAATAAAGACCAATGCACACAGAACATATGGAAAGATTACTACGATTGGTTTCAAGAAGATTACTATGACTGAATGTTGATATTGTGTGTTGTCGAACACCGAAACACATAGAGAGTGTGCTTAAACAAAAAACAGTAGAGAATTATTTTACAGTACAATTAACCAGATGCCGTAATATAATGAGTATTGCAACTTGATGTAATGTAGTAAATAAGTATCCTGATCCTCAAATGTAAGTAAATTTTCTTTAAAACTAATGCATTTTTCAATTAAATAATGAAATTTAAATATTGCTTTATTTCCATTCATTTAAATATGTATTAAATTTTAAGTTTTAGAAAGTTCTAGGTATCTTGGTCCCGCCCACCTCGAATAATGAAGACTCAACAGTAATTAAAAGAATCTTTGTGAAAATGTAAAATAACAATAAAAAGATACTAAATATCAAACATAAACTAAATGTTAATCACTAAACAATCTAATAAAGACAAAATATAGATTTTTGTTAAGGTGAGGCTTACATGAAATTGTCCAATAAAATGAATTGATATAAACTCTTTAAATACTAGAGATGTTCATGTCACGTGGATAATTTAAAAACAAAATTTGCAAAAATGTGACACAATTTAAGTGGAAAAGGAACACAAATTTCCACTGTGTTACAAATTTAAAAATTTTAGAATTCAACAGCAAGATTTATAATTAAAGAAAATATCAAAAGGTACTCTGAATAGTATTTGATTGTCGATTAAAACTGGGAGTTATAACTTTTCAACTCCTCTCTAATTCCTGTCATAATAACTAAAATAATTAGCAGTTTTAGCTGTTCTGTCCAGCTGCCTTCTTTAATAATAATTCATCAGGTTTCGATTGCATTTATTCCTTTACTTAAATATTAATTTGTGAACTTATTTGTCTTCAGTTTTAATATGAATTTTAAAATTGCATAAAGAGAATTCTTTACAGAACATATAGTATACAAAAATTTATTATGAATAATAATAATAATAAAAAATATTCACTATAAAATTCTATAAATTTAACTAAATTTTTCATGCAAAGAATATTTTTATTTATTTCTTACTAATACTAACCTATCAATAAAAATTATTCGTTTCAAAGGACAATTCACTTCTTTTGTTGGTTTTTCAACATCTGCATCATCAAAATGTATGCTTTTTTGCTCTGGATTTATTTTCAGAAAATTATTCTGCCTTTTTGATAAAACAGTAGAACTCCACCATTCATGAAAAGGAATAGCAGATTCACCCGGGAAAATAAGTAGAACCTGAATTGAAAAAATATATATAATTAAGAATTATTTTTCAAAACACAAAAATAGCAGTAGTATCATAAGATGTGCTAAAAATGAAGTAAAAATGATTAAAAGAAAAGTATAATAATAGAAAATAAACAAAAAATGGTAGATGAATGCAGAAATTGTTGTTGTTCATTTACGTCGCACTAGAGCTGCACAATGGGCTATTAGCGACGGTCTGGGAAACATCCCTCAGGACGATCCGAAGACATGCCATCACAATTTTGATCCTCTGCGGAGGGGANCTGCACTCGAAGTCGAGCACTTTACGGTAGAACAGTTTAACGAGGACCAATACCGCACACCCTCGGTCCCTACGCAGACTGATCCAAGTGGTCACCCGCACACTGACCGCAGCCAGAGATTCATGACTTCGGTGATCTGCTGGGAACCGTGTCTTAACGACCAGTCCACTGCGGGACATGAATGCAGACGTAAAACATAAAGATGAATGCAGAGAAATCTATATTTTAGGCATTTCAGTTCAATCTTTATGTTTAGAAGTTTTAAAACACTCAATATATTTTTAGATTTAAAGATCCATGAATAATTCCTCTTCTTTATATTAACACTGTGAACATTTTTAAGTACACCACTTTATAAAACTACTTAATATAAAATTTGATGGCAAAAAACATTGCAAATAGTAGTTGAATTGCAACTGAAACAAATAGTGTTTTTTTTCTATCAAAATTGTCAAAACAAAATAAATTTAGTTACTAACTGTCAAAACAAAATAAATTTTAGTCTAATAATTTTATACATCAGAACTTTGTTTAAAAATTAATTACAACTTAATATTTCAAAACTGCTCCACCCTCATGACAGCTTTGCACATTTGCTTTCTAAGATGACACAGAATTGAAATTAAGACAAAATAATTGATCAAAATAAATGCTTCCGGAATATTTTTGGCAGGAAATGATTAATCTGTTACAAATTTTTTTCCACATAGACGTACCATTTCCCCCCAAATTCATATTATAGCTTTGTAATTTTGCACATTTTAATAGCATTGTATAGCAACTTATAAACTTATATTAGCAGTGGGATCATTACCAACTTGGCAACATTTTTGGTGGCAAAAGCTTTATCTAACCTTCCTGAAGTTTAGAAGCTTTAAACGCATTAAAAATTGAGTAATCAGAGAATTCACAAAGAGCTTGTTGAAATTTTTTTTCCATGAAAATGGTATAAGATGGACCATTTTGGTTTTGATTGTTAATCAAAGTCAAAGGTTTTGTTTAATAAAGCACCTTTTCTTTAACATACAGAATGACACAATTTAATCTAAAGGACAAAAAAATATCTTTAAATTTGTTGTACAGTGTAGTTTGTCTCATTTGTTTATTTTTTCCACTAAATTTACTTGAATTATTAATAAAATATTTTAATCTCTTTTTAACCCCCTTTGAAAATATTAATAAGTTGTATAATAATATTTTGAAAGAAATATTAATATGTAACTTATTATTTTTCTAAAGAAATTTAGTACAATACAAAGATGTTGCACAAAAGAAAAAGTTGACCTCATTTAGTTAAGTATATCTGAATGATATCACATATTTTATTATGTAACTAAATACTATTACTTATATAATGAAGTCAAATATATCTTAAAAATTTGAAATATTAGAGTTTTGAGAATGAGTATACTTGATTACAAAAATAGTTAAATTTTTAGTGATTTACATCACAATTGCCGTACAAATCAAGTAATATATAACACATGTATGTTAAAGATTTAAAAATGAATAAAACTTAGAATCTTTTTTTTTCTTTCAAGCAAATACTAATTTCACTTACCTCAAAACAAAACTTTTATTAAAATGAAAAAACTTAAAGTAATGAGCTACATTTGTAAAAGTATCTATAATGGATAGTAAAAAGAAAAAGAAGATTGGTACAGAGGTACCATTGAAATCAGTGTAAAAAAAGGAAGTGTGCGATTAATGTACCACTCCAGCCTTTAAAACAAAAATTCAAGAATAAGTAATTTTATTACTTTTTTTAAAACTGATTCCAATAAACTTTGGAAAAAAAAAGGAATTATAACATAATTACAAAATGTAGAAATACCGATTCAAGGTGTTGAAATATTGAAATATTTTGATAGAATTTAAATATTTCTAAAACTAGATATAATTAAATTAATGCTGAGGATATATACAAAATTTATACTGACTTGGCCATGATTAAGCTGCTTTTTTTTAAAGTTTATTTAAAAATAATTATAAACAACATAAAATCTAAAATTAATATTACATACTTTATAATGTACAACTTAAAAGAAAACATACCTCATCATAATTATAAGTGGGAAAATTTGGATATGTGTACACTGTTACATCTTCTGAAGCTAAAACAGCAGCATGTGCAGCAGTACTTTTACCATCGACCTCCTTAGGATGCTTTATTATGTCAATTTTTATTGGCAGCTAAAAGGTTAAAATTATTGAATAACATACAAGAGAAATACATCAATATATTTAATTTAAAAAGTATTAAAATATTTTTGCTTTGAAATGAATATATATATACAGAGAGGGAGAGAAAAAAAAAGAGAACTAAGTACATAACATATTTTTTTCAAAACAAAGTAAACTAACAAAAATTTATTAATTGATAAACAGCTTGAAAGCTTTTTTCTGTTATTTAAATGGAAAATTATGAGAAAACAAACTTTAATACTTATAGTTTTAAAATCACTTAAAAAATTTAACCAGTTAAGAATAATCCAAACAAAGTAAATAATCAGAATTTAACCTATAAACACAGGTAATTTTACCAATAAATAATAATTACTTAAACAGTGAATAAATTTTTTTCGCAATGGAATCTGAATAAAAAGGCAGTGTTTTTAAGGGATGTCGGCTTATTTTGACACAAAGAGGGCTCATTTATTGGGATCAAAGTAGGGCCGGCCGCCCTTCAAAAACACTTAGGAGAATACTGTGTTATCTTTAATATTTGGAAAGTAAAATAAGTTAAAACTGTAAATAATGTATGTGCATAATCCTATGCAAAAAATTTGTTTTTCATACATCCCTCCTGAATGGATAGATAAAATTTTTTAGGTAAGAAAACTAAAATTGTTTTTACACCTACAATTTTTACAATTTCAGGATTTTCAAACAAACAGTTCAGGCATTACAAGAGTAAGATAGACACGTAGATAGACAGATGCACATAATCTTTCTCTTATTATAATGCAACCTTGACACTATAACCAAGCCACTAAAAAGTTTTTGTCATCAAAAATCCAATATTTTTAATAATTTAATTTAAATAACAATTGTACTGACTTTTTAAAAGTCATAGAATATGTTTATACTTCAAACAGTGTTAACTTCTTTGCTTCTTTATTTAATTTTACGTCTTACTGAAATTCTTCTGCTTTATCATTTTTCTTGTTTGATATATTCTAATGTTGTAACCTCTTTTAACATTTCTGACTCCTCCCAGCTTTAACATATTTCTACAATACTATCCACTCCCCAGCATCTACTTCATAATTATCAGTTTATTCTTTTTATAGGGAGTTCTTTCTAATCACACACACATCAACATTCAACCCCGAGCCTAAGGGGGCATAGGCTCAGTGTTAAGGTTGGAAGATAAGTTGGCAGATGTTCTTATCTATGCACATGTATATCTTAATATTTTCATTTAGAGGAATGAGCGATTGTCTAACTTCTTTTAAGACATGAATATCTCTTCTTCTTAAATTAGAGATTCAAGATATAGCTCATAAAATCATCCAAGAAAAATCTCAAATAATTAAGTTCAAAGAAGAAACAAAAAACACATTAAGAAAAAAAATTTAAAATTACGAAAAAAAAAAAACACTTTTTCTTAAAAAAATATTTTGTGAAATTATGAGTAACCAAGACAGAAGAGAATACTTAATGTCAAAAAATACACAAAATAAAAAGATGACCTCAAAGAAAGACTTCGAATCAAATAATCAAGAAACCTCTACTATTACGTTTATTATAAAAAAGAAGAAGATTTATTTACAACAAAATTACAGAATCGCCGAAAATTCAAAAGACAAATCTTAAACTCTCTCAAAACTATTATTTACATTCTAAACTTACCATGGCAACCACCAAAACTCTTCTCGTTGCCATCTTTAAATAGGAACAAAAATAGGCTTCGCATAAGCACATAATATTTCACAATTAATTAAAATAGGTTTTTTTTTTCTAAAAGAGGCCTTGACATAACAAATATATAAGATATTCAGATTTTTTTGTAACATTAAAAAATTTGTCTTCAAAGTTTGTGATATCAAGGTTTGACACCTCTCTTTAAAATGAACGAGAATACAATGGTTATATTCTCCATTCAAACTCGAATTCCCCGAAATTTCAAAAGTAAAATTTTAAGAAGTTTTAGACTTAATGATTTAATTTCATATAATTTCAATAGTAATTTAGGCATACATATTAAGAATTTCATTTAAATTCAGAAACTTCACAAATTTTTTTTTTTCAATCTGCAGTTGTTAAATTTTTCATATTCAAAGGTTTTGTGACATTCAACACAAGAAACCCATTTAATTCTGCATCATTATTAATTTCATAAAAAGTTCTAAAGATATGAACAAATTTTCAAAAATGTACTTTGACTAAAAGAAGTGATTCTTTATAAGTGTACAAAGGAAATAAAATTATTAATTTGATTTATTTATTAAAGTTGATGAAAAGGAAAATAAAAGATAATACAACTATCACAGCTTTAAAACATATTTCCTATATGAAACAGATTTAATATTTGATTAAATATATTTCTAATTCCAAGAAGTTCCAGAGTTCATTGCGAATTAGGTATTCTAGAGGAAGCCCTTATTTAATGCAAAAATGTAAACTTTTTGTCTCCTAATTAACATACTGGTTTTCTGTTCTTGGGTCAATAAAATCAAACGAATTTTCTCAAGAAACTTACAGACACGTGTGGTAATCTATCGGAAATCTCTTGCACTGCTACATAGCAAGTATAACAATAATATTTTCTTGATCTATGACACTTAGAACAAGTGCTACGATTTGGTACGCTTTCTAAAAAACTACAATCATCAATTTTGAATTTAGAAAATGGATCCTTCTCTTGACAATTCGTATAAAAAGAAGAAGACTCAATAAATCTCTTTTTCGATGAACTGCTGCTTGATGTTTGCATATTTATAAGGAAATATGTAATACGGTATAATGACAAAAAATTAGTGGAACAATTTATTTTCAAGATTGACACTAGATAAAATTCTTAAAAATAAATGAAGAAATAAAATAATGGAAATCGAAGATCAATAAAAGATTAAGCAACGAATTTCCATGATTCCTAGTAATATTTTATAAGTTTTAATTAATATTGTATAACCATTAAATCAGTTTTAATAGATACTATGGTATTAGGGTCAAAATCGTGTTCATGATTTGTTTATTTACGTTTTCATAATCTGTACTGCCAAACTCATTCATCTTAAAATAATGTATAAAAGTAATAATAATTTGAACCAACAAATATGATCAATAAACTTTTTATGAAATACATTTTAAAATTACTAACACATTATTTTATCCTTTTTCTAAATTTATATTCAATTATAAAAAAATAATTTAACTTTATTTTGTTTTCTACTCCTTAGCTGCAACTGTTGCTTTTTTCATTTTGTATGCCGTCTGCTACTATTTACAAATGCGGTATGTGTTGGATTTTAAATGTTATATAATGTTATATAAGGTTATTTGTGATCTTTTTTTGAAAGACAAATGTAAGGACATATTATTGTTAAAGAATATTATTTAGTACGAAATTAGGGCTAATAAAAACTGATTTATCTAATTTTTTTTTTGTTTGAAAATGTTTTTTCTTATCTTTGACAATTACTTCTGTGTAAAATTGCCAATTGCAAGTACATATATATTTATCGAATTCGGGACATACAATTGCAAATTGCACTGTAAAATCAATAAAATATAGTATTAAAACTTCTGAAGTATCGTGGTTAGATCTCACAGACGTCTTTATTCCGTTGAACTAATAGTTAGAATAAATAATCGTTTTGAATTCCATGCCTTTTCGTTCTCATAATTTTATTTTTCGTATTAAAATTTTCCCTTTTAAAGATTTACGAATCAGGTAAATAATTCTGGTTCTAATTTATTAAGAAAGGTTTAGCATGTTAATCCTTTGAAATTTCAAATATGTTGAATCTACTTCAAATTGCAATTTATTTAAGTGTGTCCCGTATGTGGTTAATATGATACAATTTTATATATTAGATGCTATTTTTTTAATTTGAAAATGAATATAAAATAGTTTTTTATTTTTTAAAATTCAATCAGTTAAAAAAATAGCAGGGAAAATTTATGTTTATGTAATGTTCACGATAATGAACACGATTATGTTTTTATTCAAGTAATCTGCATCCAAAGTATTGTTGGCAAGGTTTTGGTGGTTTGAACCATGGACAAAACTATTAAGTAAAAACTTGTGTTGCAAAAATCTAAACTATTAAAATTACATTTTGATAGATACTATTTTTTATATTTTAATCAGCACATTGTGTAATTCTGTTTAATGTTAAATACTTATTCTAGATTATTTTCTGAAAAAGAAATTGTCTATTATAAAAAAATCATTCAAAATCTATATATACTTTAAGTGTAATAATATTTAACTATTTGCTAACATATATACTAGTAGCTCCTTGTAAAGTTGCTTTGAAGGCAATTTTAAATTTTAATGATAGAAAAAGGAAAGTTAAACTTTCAAATAATTGTCTATGTCATAATTTTCTTGTATAAATATGTAAGATAATATGATATTTGGAGTTTAAAAATAAATTTAGTTAAAAAAAGAAGTAAAGAAACCTGGTAAATGATATTGATAAAAAAAAATTCTGAATATTAATTGATCTACTTAAAAATTTCTTTTAGTTCCATGTCATTTCAAAAATTTTTTTCTCTTAAATAAAGTAAAGAAAACAAATAAATTAAATGAAATAATAGAAAACAATTAAGAAATTCTGATGATTAAGTGAAAATTGTTTCTTCTCCCAACTATAACTTTTAACCTTATAATTATTGTCTAGATTTAAAAAAAAAACTTGTTTATTCAGTTCAAACTAGTTCAAATAAATTTCTTTATTAATTTAATCTTTTAAATAAAATATGATTTCACACTGTTTTTTTAGATTTTTAGCAAGTTAAGCCCAACTTTTGATCTCAAAAATCCAATCCTGATTTAAAGTTAGGTTTCTCTTTCTTCTGTAAAAATTTATATTCTGTTATAATTATAGTCACATGTCTATTTCTTTATACTAGAGACCGTATAATAATTCTGTTTTATTTTTTTAGATTTCAAAGAAAAGTATGTAATTAAAATAATCACATGAGGAACCATTGAAGTTATCTTGAAATTTTGAACAAATTTTGAAAATGTCATAGTTTTAAAAAATTATTTAAAAAGTTAAAATAATCTCATCCCCTTTCATATTATTTATTTCATCATGTCAAGTCGTATGTCTTCAATTTTACTTAAGCGTAATCAATATAAATTTATTATCACTTCTTTACACCTCCGATGTAAATTCTTTTCGTCATATGCTGATACAAATCAGCAACAAAATTTAAACCAAACAATACAAGTTTCAAAACGTCTTAAACCGTTCATTGGCCAGACAGTGAAAGAAATACTTTCTGAGGTGGATTCAAAATACACAACCGCTTCTGAATCGATAACTTTTCTTAAGGCCTTAAGAATCCATACAATGTTTAACAAAGTTCCTCCTGAGACTTTCACCAATGATCCGAAATTTAATTTATTATGTGACGTTTTTCAAAAAAACTGTGATTCTTTAAATTTAAACCTACTAATATCAGGTCTCCGTAGTTTATTAGAAGTAGGAATGCCATCTCACTCCCAGTGTGTTATAAGTGCTGAAACACAAATTTTAAATAACTGCTCTGAGCTGAACACTTTAAATTTAATTACATGTCTAAATTTTCAACAAAATTTTCTGGACTCTGATTTACAAAAGAAAGTTAAGATTGCCCTAGAGGAAGAACTAGTCAAGAAATTATCGCAAGTCGCTACTCCAGCAGAAGTTTTACTTCTCTCTAATATCTTTCACTCATTAGACAAGAATCACTCAAAGGCAGTTGAACTGAAGATTATAGAGCTAGTGCCTTCATTAAATGTTCATGAAATGTGTAAGATAATTGTTTCATTTGCTCAGCATTCAAACCGAAATACTGCTATCTTAAATGCCATAGCTTTTCACTTGAGACAAAAGAAGGAGCTACCAGATGTTAAAGAAACAGTCGACATACTTTATGCTTTCAAGAAACTAAATTATGTTGAAGTTAGATTTTTACCCTATCTATTGCATGCCGCTGCCCATGAAGTTCCAAAAATCACCCAGCCTTCATTGATATCTGGAATTCTAGTAACATGTGGACATTTGAAGTGGAAAAATGTTGGTATGATTTATTTTTTTATCTTTTTAATTTCTTAAAGAACTTTTTTTTAAAAAATAGTGAAAATTAAAAGGTCTACGTGTTTTAGAAAAATACTTTGCTAACAGGTAACATATTTACTTTACGCCATTGAATATATTAAATATATATTATATAATAAAGTTTTGTTGCATTTCTCTGATGAGGTATTTTTTCAGAGAAACATTTAATTTTTTTGATTTATAAAAAAAAAAGTTCATGTAAAGAGTAATTAATGTATAATTTATCATAAACTAATTATATTTGCTAATCAGCCTTTGATTTCATGTGCTTTATGTGTTACAATATAGTATACGTAAATATTTTTTTTCATTTCAATGTTCCTATATCATATTACAACAAGGCCTTATCAAGCTCAACATTTCTCTTTCTATTTATCATTCTTATATCTTGTTATAGCAGGTCCCATTTTTAGCCAGGATTTTAAAACACAGAAAATAACTTGTTAAGTTTCCTTGCTTACTAAATCGAGATAAGTATGAACATAAAAAATAACTTAAATGATTCGCCACTTGACCAGCTTTATTAAAACATAAAATTATATTTATCCATTGTTAATTATTTAATTTAACAAATTTTAATGATTGTTTGTTTTTTTTTAATTTTATTTCCATAATAAAACAACTAATGCAGTAGGGAACCGATTATTCCGAAACGATCGGGACCATCGCTATTCCGGATGACTGATTTTTCCGGTTTTCTGGATCGCTACAAAAAGCCGTTTTTTTTATCGTTAAACCCAACTAAAAAAAAATAATATTTGGTAATAATCTTGAAAAAACGAAGTAATACACTAATGATTATTTCCAAAATTAAGGTAAAGTAAACATCTTTCAAAAAATAAAGAAAAATCCTAAAATCTTATGAGGAAAATTTTTTTTTAAATGGCAGGAAAATTTTTCGAATTTGGTTCCGGTTTTTTTGTTTTCCGGTTTACTGATTTCCGGATAACGGGTTCTGTACTGTACATCATATGTTTTATCACCATATGTTTTATCTGTAGGGAAGTTTTTTTTAGGGTTTAAGGGGAGGGGAATATTTTTAACCACTACATGTTAATATTTCTAAAAGCTTATATTCATTATATTTGAAAACGTTTTAACCTTCAAAATGTTTCTCCTTAAAACCAATAAATAAATAAAAGAAATTAAAAAACACCTGTGTGACAGTAGAATATCAATATCACATAATTCTATAAACTGTAACTCTCTATGAACTGCATTACCTTTACAATCTCTAAACTAAAACAAATCAAAATTGAAAAATTTGTAGGATTTTAATTTTAATGCTCTTGATAGTTTAATTTTTTTCTGCAAATTATAAATTCTCAAGTTTATACTTTTGTGTTTTAAACTATTTGTATTTAAAGCTTATTTTGAAGCATAAATATTGTTCCGTTTCAGATATACATTCCCATACTTAGTAGGATAATTTATTGATAATGATATTTTGATCTAGGTTTGCATTATAACGATCTTCTACAGCATTTATCANAGGCGCTTGTCCTAAGAAACCAGACCTTTAGATATACATTCCCATACTTAGTAGGATAATTTATTGATAATGATATTTTGATCTAGGTTTGCATTATAACGATCTTCTACAGCATTTATCATTTGTTGGCAAAAATATTATGTGTCGGGTAGCCCCGCCCAGTTACAAAATTTATATTTTTTCAGGTGTAAATGAAAATGACCAATGGGACAATAGATAAACCTCATTTATCATTTTTATCACAAAATTATTTTATTCGTTACATATTTATAAACTTTTAGTGAATTCTATCATTTAATAACAACAATATTTGTTGTTAAAAATGCATATAACATTCAAATTTGAAGCAATAAAATAATAATCTTTGCAACCGTACATTTATCGACGAAATAAAATTGGGCGGTGATACCCGACATTCATGTGAGCGGGGCTACCCGAAATCCAATTTTTTTGTAAATTTGTAATTACTCGAACAATTTTTTACATACAAACTTCTTTCTTTGTGCAAATTAAACTTAAGACTACATACTTTAATGCTGTATGTATAGAAAAAATTATTTTTTTAGTATTAAAATGAAGTTTAATCGAAACATTCAACCAATTTTTCTTAATTTCATGACTACTGTATTCAACATATTTTTAAAACTATTATTTACAATGTTACCAGCTGCATAAATGCTTGAAACTTTGAAAATAATCTTTCTTTAATATAACAATTAATGTCCGATGGCCCATTGACTTAAAAAAATATTCTATACATATGAAATTAACAGTGGGCGGGGGTACCCGACATTCCCCTATATGTTATTAGCATTTTAAATATTTATTTTTAAAATTATAAATTTCACACATTTTAACACACTTTTAGGAAGTAAATTGCACATTTATTCTTCAATTCCTCCTAAATTAATATAATTTTGTTTCATGCTCTTGTTTTAGATAGAATAAGATAAAGAATGTTTCTTTTTTATTTCTATTCTTTTGGATAAATATTAATTTTAAATGTAACTTTAAAAATATTTTTAACATTTCTTTTCTTTCATACAGAGTTATTGGATGCTTGTACAGAATGGATAAAGAAAAATTTTAATGCTTGTCGTAATCGAGAGTTTATTGCTTTCATCTTAGCCACTGCTTCTCTGTATCATCATAATGCAAAAACTAAGGAAGTCATTGAACTGATATTACCTTTTATTACTCCTGAAAAAATTGAGTCTTCAAATGTTTTGTTAGATGTTGCATGGTCATTAAGTATTTTTGATATGTTACCAAAGGATCTTCTGCTCCATGTGTTATCTGCTGGTTTTTATAAACCTTTATTAGGTACTTAAGTTTTTTATGAAATTAGTATGTTTTTTTACAGTTTATTATATTTTAATGAATATAATTTCATAATACTTTATACAATAGTGAAAGTATCATCTGTATTTAAAAAACAATTTAAGTGAATTTTTTATAAATTTTAATTTATTTTAGAGCCATAAAAAATTAAGAATATCATTTAAATTTCTTCGTATTCAGCTAAGGATTTTGCTACTTTTACAATTAATCCAAATATTTATTTGATTTTAATCTTTCTAATCAGTTTTCTCTTAAAAAAATATAGTATCTTTGTTAACATGAGTTGAATTAAATAGTGTCTTTTTTATCATTTTGGTATTTATTATTTGATATTAAATTAAATAAAAATTTGGTTTTGATGTTCATGTTTTGGATATATATATATATTTTTGTGCAATTGTTATAAAAATTATTCTTATTTTATTAGCTAGTTTTCAATAGTATGAATCTGTTATTTTTTTCTTTATAAATATTTACTCTTATTTTTGGTATTGTTAAAAATTTAAATTAGTGATCTCATTAAAAATTTTGGGTTTCAATTTTTTATAATTCAATCTTTTTAGTTTAATATATTTGTAATTAATTTATTTTTAAAAATTGATAATTTTTTTTTTGTTGACAATGAAAAAATTCTGAGGGAGAGAAAATTGCATATATTTTTCACTTGTTTTAGATGTGCCTGATCCTCAAGTTCAAATCACTAATAAGCTTAAGCTGATGAATTTAAAAGGAGTTTTAAAAGTGAAGTATCCTGAACACATATTTGGATGTGATCTTTACTTAGAACCTATAAAAGTAAGCTCTTTTTAGTCATTTAGATTCTTTTAATTGTTGATTTTATATATTTTTATGCTTGTCTACTTAATTTTTCACATGTTTTTTTTTAAAAATAATTTCTTTATTTTAATATCTCAACTGATTTAAGTTCTTTTAATTCTTGTTTTCAAAATATTAATGCATGGATTTCATACTAAAACAAATATTAACACATGTGATTCTGGTTTACACTATTTAATTCGTTATTTTAAATATTTTTTTTTATTTTAATTTCCAATTTACTTTAAATTATGTTTTCCATATTTTGATGTATAATTGTTTTCCTAAGGGCATAAAAAATATTTAAAAAATAGTGATACAATTTTCTTGAAACTTGTTTTTCTGTGTAATGATAAAGATATGGTGTTAAAATGTTGGACATATGGAGATCAAAGAGGAAGAACAGTTTTCTTAAAAAATAACGATGGTATTGCCACCAGTTACATTTTGAGGATATGTTTTCACAAATTAATAAAGTGAAAAATCAGTTTGCCACTGAAAGTTATTGCTCGGTGAAGATGGGTCGTACTGTACAAAAACCTTTGTTTTCTGTATGCAAAGACTTTAATCCACATAAAACGTTCTTTTTCTGTTATTTTCATCCATATAAATTTTAATAAACACCACAAAAATTTTCATTGAGTTATTTCAATAACTTGAAACAATGTACTCTTTACCTAAATCATTATCACTTTGGCTTTCTAATATTTTTTGAAAATTTCTTCCAACTGTTTATTTGTTTTTAGTATTCATTGAATTTAAGCCTTAGTTTTTTTTTTTTTTTAATGTGAGGATATTTAATAAAGAGCTTTTAAATCTCACAACTGCATAATTCATTAGTTTATACTGTAGATGAAGTTTTTAAATTGGTAAGTGTGATTTGTTTTTATTGTTTTGTGTTCTCTTTCAGCTAAAAGATAGTTCTGATATTGAAAATGGTAGGAGGCATGTGATTAAGGTTTTGAGCAATTTTGTTCCAACAGAGAAATGTTTGTGCACCAATCAAACTAACGATATGGGCATTTTTATAGGTAATGCAGAAACATTTTCCAAACTTTGATTTTCATGTAACTTTGATTTTGCTTGCCTAAATGTAGCACAGTAACAAAATTTCATTACACAATTTATTATGCACACAACCATTTCATATTTTAATTTATGTATGTCATGAAAATGACTGATCATTGCTAATTTGATTATTTATTTTCCAAGAAAAAATATTACTGAAATCATTTAAACTATCCACTTCCTATTTATTTTTTTTATATAAGTCTTCATTAGTTAACTTGTTATTCACAATAATATTTATTTTTTGTACAAATCTTATTATGTATGTTTTAAATTTCTCTTTTTCATTTTAATACATAACATAAAAGGAAATTATATCTTATTTTTCAGATGCAGAGTTTATTATGGATAAAAATAAAAAACCATTATCTTTAGCTGAATATGGTGTGATAGCTCAGACTCCAAAAAAATCTAAGTTGTTACCCTCAGGAGCTCAAAGGTACATTTTTTTTTTGCCAAAAATTTTTTTGACAGTGATCCCGCCCTCCCAAATAATGTTTTTACTATTGTCTTAATCAAAAATTGTTCAATTCTTGATTTTAGAAATTTTAGTCACTCTTAGAAGGTGAGTTAAACATTTTAAAGTCAAATCAAATTATATCCATCATAAATTCAATCTATAAAAAAATAATAAAGTTATTGTCTAATCAGCCTTAGTTTATGTGGTATTATATACCACATATGAAATATTTATTTGATAACATAAATATATTTTGCTATATTTAACCTTAGCAAATTAAAATGCATGTTTTAATTAATTTGCAATGAATTTAATTATTAATTAATTATGTTATATTATTAATATATTTCATTATGTTACTTTAATATGGTATATTTTTGTTAAATTTATAATTTTTTAACTAAGAAAAATTGGTGTGATTTAATTACTACCTATTTAATGATAAGCTATCACAATTATGATAGCTAACTGAACTGTTTTTCAACAATTTTTCTGAATTAAAAAATTATTAATTTAACAAAAATATACCATATTAAAGTAACATAATTAAATTAATAGCAATCATAATAGATTAATTAAAACAAGTATTTTGATTTGCCAAGGTTAAATATAGCATAATATACCTATGTTATAAAACAAATACTTCATAGATATACAATACCATAATTTACATTAAAGTTAAGTCTGCTTTAAAAAAAATGTGCTGTTTTTATTATCATTTAAATTTGTTTTTTATTGCGCTGCAACTATTCATTGAAGTGCTTGTGAAAGAGTAATATTTTCATCTTTTAAATGGCTTATATATACATTTGTAATTTTTTAAGTATTTAATATATTGGCTGTTATATTATATATACATTTATAATAAGTTAAAAATACAAAGAAAACATAGAAAAAAATCTATAAATTTTTTTAAGAGAAGAATTATTACTAAATAAATATTTCTCAAAAATTTAAAAAGAAAAAAAAATAAATAAGGAAAAAATATAATTTTTGTAATCAGTTCACACGATTATATCCGCAAGAAAGAGTGCTTTCTAATATTGTATTAATATAGCCAAAGCAAAGTATATCTATATAATTTTATATACCCTATTCATTATTCAAAGAATTGGTCTTCAGATATATATTCAAATTATTCATAATTTTCTTTTTCTTTTGCCAGTTTTCTTCATACAATTTAACATTTCAAACAATTATTTAACATTAGGAAATTTCTTATTTGATTTTAGCGAAAATAAATAAGAAAATGTTAAAAAATTTTATGTAAATACTACAAAACAAATCTTCAATTAAAATTGTATAATCATTTTCTTATTAATCCTGATACTGTTGTTAAACTATATTTTTGAAACCTTCTCTGCACATTTTTCTTTTTAATTTTGTGTATGATCAACTTATCACTTTACTTAAAAAGAAATTATATGTTACTATTTGTATTTTAAGTTATAAAAAATTAATTCACGCAAATGTAAATTAATATTACATGTATGTAATATTAATTATTAGTTAATTAATGTAATATTAATTAATTACTTAATAAAATAATATTATATGTAAATTAATATTACATATGCATTAATGACTTTTTCCCCCCTCCTTAGTTCTGAAGTATCTATCTATATTATATATGTATACGTGTATATATATACATATATATGTATACATAATATACATATATATCTATATATATAGATAGAGATACATAGGCATAGCATGAGGGGCATACTTTTTGTTTTTAGAAAACTGTTTATTTATTTTAAGTTGTATGTAAATTCACATGTTTGTTTTTATATTAATGTATATTTATAGATAAATGTATGTATAAAACTTAAAATAGGCAACCAATTTTCTAAAAATAAAAAAGTGTGCCCCCCCTTACGGTACGCTTATATACATATATGTTTTATGTGATTTATAGTTTACTAAACAATGCTAATAAATAGCAAAAAATAAGTTGTTACTTTTTTTTAATTCAAGAATATAGTTTGTGTTTTCAGAATTCTTTGATATTTATTTTTATATAAATATCATGATGTATTATTTATTCAAAGTAAGCATAAATAAATCTGTCATTGAAAAAAAAACCCATATTGAATATGAATTTCACCATATTGGACCCATAGTTACGTGCAGAAACTTAAATTATAGAAAAGTTAGATTATTTTCTGAATAATTATTCTAGTTAGTTAAATATTTAATGTTTCTACTATGTCAGCTGGGTTAAAAGAAATGTTCTTTTTTTTTCTTTCTAGTTTTGACTCAGAAAACTCAAATTTGCTCTCAATATGTCACTGCAAAGGCAAAAACTTTCATTTCTCTTTAATTTTTTAAGAGTTTTAGAACACAGAAATAAGGGAAGGGAAATTGCGTTATTTTGGATTTTTAGTTAAGTAAAATTATACCAACTATGGAGGTCAAGTTTATGTCTTGTACTTAGGTTAGTACAAAACATATTTAATATTTGCGAATATTCTGCTTGTTAATATTTTATTTGATAACTATTTTGTTAAATGAAAAAAGAAAATTTCATTTATATTATGAAAATTTGTATGGAAGGAAATTTTTGTTTTAATACTATGCAACAATGAGGTTAACTTTTTAAATGTATAGATATCAAAAAACTTAATGTTTTTAAGAATATCAAGATATTTACGATCTATGAATTATTTGTCATTAAGTGATAAAAGTTATATTTCCTTACAATTGTTTGTTAAATGCTTATGACTTTAAAGAAATAATACCCTGATAAAAAAAGGCGTTGCAATTTTTTTTTCTTTCTTCTTATCAGTTGTCTACTTTGACTCTCTTCTATGTATTTAAAATGTTATAAAAAGTGAAGTGGTTAAAACTATTTTTTCTTCATTCATTTAGTACTAATATTTTTTGATAAGAATTCATGTTTAAATTTTAGTTATTATAGTTTAGTTGAGGAAAATGAGAAAAACAATGAATATCAACATTTATTTCTATAATTATTAAAACTGCTTTGTGATATTAAAATGTATAAGTGTGATAGATCTGGAAAAATTATTTAAAAAAAATCAAAATTAATGAACTAGCATTAATTAATATAAATTTTATCCTAATAGTTTTGTGAAGAAAATTCATTTTATAAGTTTTCATACATGAAACAAGATTTAAAATATCTATCATCGGTGTGTTTCGTTTTTGTAAATGATTAAATACAATTTCATACCGTTTAAGACAATTAAAGATTTTAATTTCCAGTTATAACTTTAGTCCTTTTAAGAATTTTAATTTCATAGCTATTAAAATCGTTGAAATATTTTTTTTCCCCTCGTGTTAATGCAATGGCATTGATATCATAAGTATAGATTTTATTTAAACTTAGCCAACACTTAATAAACGCCATAAGAGAGCCTTCAATTTATATCTTCAATGTAATGATAGTCAAAATAATTTTAAATAAAATTTATTGAAAGCAGAATCAAGAGTGAATGTAAAATTTCTGCTATAGAATTAAAAATAAAATCTTCCAGAAAATCTAGGGGAGTTGGCAAGTAAGCTATTTATTATTTATGTAACTTAAATTTTATTTATTTCTTACAGAATAGCACTTTTAGTAATGTTCCATAAAGACTATGTACAAAACTCTGGAAACTTAACTGGAGTAAATATTCTAGCAGCAAAATTATTAACTCATCTAGGTTATGCAGTTGTACAAGTAAGAATATTTTCTTATTTTATGCAATTTAGAAATTATTTCATTATTTATATGCTTTCAAGTATAATGACAGGAAAGATATTTTTTTGGTGTTAATAAAACACCATAAATCAAAGTGAAATATTTGTGGTTTGTTGGCTGATGAAGATGATTTAAGCATTTTTGTGAAGTGGATAATTATTATTGAAAATCTTTCTGTTGATGTTTAAAAAACAGAATTTTAATTAAAAATGTTAAAAACAAACAAGCCTTTAAATTTAAATTTCTCTTATACTTTATCTCTGAGAGATATGAGTTTTTTTTTAAATATAAATTCCTTTGTTAAAAATATTTTGTTATACTGCAATTAAAGTAAAACTTGTTGCCTTAAAATATTACTAAATTCTTTCACTTTAAGGTTTTAAAATTAGTTTTTAGCGTTTTATAGCAATTTTTGGAAATATATTGAACAAATATTGCTGAATTGCTAATCAAAATCTTTGCAATGATTAAAATGTTGCTTTTAAATATTATCATTAAAACTTTTACAAGGCACAAATTACGTTAAATTAATTTAAACTAAAGTGAGAAAGAAAATTTTAAAATATTATTTTTGAAGGTATAAATAATTTAAATATGCTAATCTCTAATTACTTTACAAAAAAAATAGCTTATTATTTTAAATAACTTTAAAATTGTTTTTAAATATACAATATGGAAATATCTTTTTAAGAATGTAGATACAATTACAGTAACTAAAATAAAACCTTTCGTCTATTTTTATTGACTGCTAATTTGTAAGTAAACATGTTTAGATATAATTCCATATTTTTATTGAGTACAGACCGAAAAGTTATGTTAATCTCTAAGTCTGGTCACATTTTTTGGATAATTGGTTTATTGTGAGAACTTTTAGTATTTCTTAAAATATATGTGTGAGAATGTATACTACCCTACAATAATGGAAGAAACACTTTAAGCTTTCGAATTTTTTTATTTTTAATTTATCAAGATACAATTAGAGGAGTTTTAGATAATGCAATTTTATTAATACTGTGCAATAAAGTTTAAAACTTTTAGGGGTTTATGGGACTGACAATTAATTGTGAAAACAATTACTTTCAAACACCATAGAAAAAAATTCAAGCAATAAGAGAGTAACTTGGTTCTTATTTGCAATAAACTCCATAAAATTTCACAAACCTAACTTTAAATATTTATAGAGATATGTATATTTTTATTAAAAAAAGTTATTTTTTTCCCCTTCTTCATTTTGCAATGAGTTGTATTTGGCAACTAAAGTCAGATTTGAATATCTTAAAAAGTTTCAAGCAATTTTTACTCTTTTAAGCTTTTTTTACTCTTTTAAAAAAAGCTCAAAATGATAAGGGGTCTCCCATAAATTTCATTGTAGGTTATTATAAAGTGGTGTAATTTGTGCAATTCTATAAAAAGTACAAAATAAACTTAAAAATTGCTTGATTTTCTTTTAAATTTTTAAGATATTCAAATTAAAGTTTTCATTAGTCGCCAAAAAGGATTCACTACAAAATTAAGATTTTATCTATGCAGAACTACTTTAAACACTCATACCTTATGCAGTTTTTAACGAATTTTTTCCAAAATTTAAAACAATAAATTTGTGTTTCATTTTAAATTGCTCCAAAAAATTCTGTTTACTCTTAAGAGAATAATAATTAAAAAAAAAAAACGTAAGACTAAAAAATTAGTTTTTTCTTCATAAAATTTTTACAAGCTTATTGCTTGATTTTCTGGCATAGGGTGTTCAAAAATACTCATTCCCTCAAACCTCTGGAAGTTATTGCTAAGTAAGAAAAATCACATGAACTTAACACCCCTAAAGTTACAAAAATCCTCTTAGTATTTCTTGATAAATGTGAAAAACCGAAAATGTCTCTTCCTCCATTATTATAGGGTGAAGTATCGTAAATAAGTAATATATAACTTTGTATAAAACTAATTTATAAAATTTGTAGCAGAATAGGAATCTTAAAAAACATCTTTTTTCAGATACTATATGATGACTTAATACGCAATCGAACTGAACTACAAAAGGCAAAACATCTCATGCAAAAAATTACAACTGCTATACAGAATACCAAAAGAGGCAATGTTTGATTTTAAATTATTAATAAATAGCTTTTTTTTAAAAAAATGTTATACTTTATTATTCATTTCTTTGTATCAAAAAGGTTAAACGGAAATATGTATACTATAAATAAAGAAAAAAAATCAAAGTTCTAAGAAACTTTCAACTGGTATAAAATAACAAATTTAATGAAAATCACTTTACATTTGTACAGTTAAACAAAAATGTTTTCCATCAATTACTTTTTTGGCCATTGTGTACTAGGTCCAGTACTACTGCCACTTCCATCTCTGTTAAATGAGGCCTGCTTAGCATGTTTCCTATTTTTTCCAAAATATGGTCTTGGTGTCTAAAATATTAATTTTATTTATTACAATATAATTTTGCTTTTGTGACATTCTTTTGCATAATTGAACCAGGTCTTACTAGCCGATTCCTCTTAAAAAGACTTATTTTAAATATAAAACAAGGGGGTTATTGATCCACAATGTGATCAGCATTGTTAAACTAATTGTATGCAAGATTTTTTTTGGATAGTTACAATTACAAAATAATCCTTAGCTATATTATTTAAAAATGTTTACATCTTGAGTTAAAATTATAAACATCACAAATATTTCGTCAATATAAAAAGCTTTGAAAAAAGGTTGGGCAAAAAAAAGTTTAAATGATATTCCAATATTTAAATTATGAAATCGGTGACCAAAGATTTGGTCTAGAGAGTGGTTAAAGGTTTGAGCCCCATAATATTAATTTCATTTTTATGCTATTTTCAGTTTTTTAGGGAATCAAAAAATTTTTCATATATAAAATTCATTTATTCAAAAATAGTTTTTAATGGTTGAAACATTTTTGAATTGGCAGGAATATAAATTTTTACACAAAAATTCACCATTTGAATAAAATCAGTCTGAAAAATAAAATTTCAAAATAGCCATGTTTTAAAATTTTATTTCATAAGAAATATTTCATCAATTTCGTAAAAAAAAAATTTGACTATTATTTTATAACTGTATGTATGCAAAAATTTTTTAAATTTCTTTAAAAACTTCTTGAGATCCACACACAAAAAAAAATTAACATTAAAAGATACTAACTTTCAACCACTCTCCTTGCTAAACTCTTGGGATCATTTTTATGGTGAATAAATATGCAAATTCATAAAAAAAAGATATGTTTTTATATCTGATATCATAACTTAAATACAACTAATTATTATCATATTTGAGGTCCCGCTTTTGAACCAGTAAAATAGCTTACTTGGCTAATTTTTTATCACAATATATATATAAAACTTTATTATATCCATTAAATTTTTTGATATCTTTAAAACAATAGATTTAATGAAAGAAAATAAAATTTAAGAGGGATAATCATTAATCGATAGAAATGGATGACAGGAACTGATAAATTCTATACATACTTGATAGTTTTGGTTTTTCTTCTTTTTAGATTTGAAGCTTGTATTTGGTTGACCTGGGTAAAATAAAAAGCAAAACTTGATTTTTGAAACATTAAGTGAAAGAATCGTTGCATAAATTTTTAAAATAAGAACTAATGAAGTGCAGCAAATTGTTATTCAAATAATTGCACACATAGCATTTTTTTTCCTTACATAATTCATATTAAAATTTTAAAGAGAAAAGCATGTAATAATGATAAATAAAGGTATTTAGAAGTATTATGCTACCTTAAATCCTTATTATTTTTTCAGTGGAAAGCAGTGAAGAGTAATTTAAATCACACGACTAGATTACAAAATTGTTATATTTTACACAATTTTGCATTGAAGGAAAAAAAAAAACTTTTCATAGTCTTTATAATAAATTATTATAAATATATGATTAAACTAAAATGAATAATCACAAAAAAACATAGGAAAAAATTTATGCGCCATAGAGAAAATGATGTTTCGAGTACCTGAAACAAAGATTGTCAGGCTGACACTATTTGAAAGAAAGTTGATTAGGTTCAAAACAAGAAATTTGTCAATTTCTCATCGTGATACAAAGTGTAAGAAGTTTGCAGTATACATAATAAATTTTTTACATATATACAGTATACATAATAAACTTTATCACCAAGACATAACAGACTAAGATGAATGAGATATCTCACCAGAAAATTTGTTGTAATCCGACTGACTGTAATCATAGGGTGTGAAGCTATCATCATCTACAGTTACAACTTCAGGAGATCTAGATTTTTTGCTTTGTGGACCAGATGATTCTGGAGTTGTAATAAGAGTAATATCAGGTTGAGGTTTTCGTTTCTTCTTGTTTTTCTAAAAATAAATATACATTCTTAAAACCGAACACAAACAAGTCTCTTCAAAATAGATGGGTGGGGTTTTTTTCAGAAGAAAAAAAAAACCAAATTAATCTCTAAATAAATTAGTCATTATATGAAAGAGCCAGTTGGAGAAAGATATAGCAGTATAGGAAATAAAATTGATAGCATGCAAGTGTATTACAGCAACTTTTTAATAAAAATATTGAACTTAAAAATTTCTCTCTTTTTACAGCATCAGGTATAACATCAGAGACAGACTCTACTGAGAATTTAAATTCTAATCGTTAATAAATGAAAAAAAAACTTAATCATTACTATTATTTTTCGTTAAATTTTGTTCAACTAATTTTGGTAAAATCTCTTTTTCTTTTTAGAAAAAAAGCAAATAAAAAAAAAATATTTTGAAAAAATTTAGAATTGGTAAAAACAAAAATTGTATAAAAATGANAAAAAAAAAAAAAAATGGACACATAAATGTAGCTAGACACTGCTTAAAAAAGTATTTGTTAAATTATTGTTAATATGTAGTACACATTGCACGTCGTATATCTTTTAAATAGCTGTCAATGCACACAAACCCTTTTTCTAATGGGTGTTGAGCTTATAATTTCACATGAAACATCAGCCTGTGGCATTTCAGACGTATCAAGTTCTTCCACCACTTCTTCCACATCACTTTCAGCATTTTCTTCTCTTGCATGCAATGAAGAATCATTTGCAGTCTAAAAGAAATATTAATTAAAAAGGTAAAGAAAACTGAACTTCACCAGTTATTATTAAAAAATTAAACATATCTTTAAAAAAACTTTGATAACATAAATGCTTTAAAAATAAGAATGTGTTTAGATTTTTACACATTAGATAGATTCATGCATTGTATGAATCTATCTAATGATAATCTTTTCTGTATGGTTTAAGTAGAAAATTTGAATCATACAGAAACACAGGACAGTTTCACAGAACAGTTACCAAAAATATATGAACCAGTAATGTTAAATTAAAACTAGTTCATATATTTTTTTACAAAATTAATAATTAAATATAATGAATGATACATTGCAAAATGCAATTTACAAAGTCACTACATTTAAACTATTAAACAGTGAGCATAAAAATAAGTAAAAACAGACCCCTAAATAAGTGTTACCAATAAAATTACAAAATATACTCTAGAATAAACTGAATGAATTAAAAAAAATTTGTAGAAATAAAATTTATTTGCCAAAAGATAATTTTTGCTCAAAGAAAAGTTTTGAATTATTTATATGTATTTTAAATTAACTACAGAAAAAAATATCTTTAGAATCATCAAATTAATTTGGTTATTTCGTAAATGTTTACAGCTAATAAATCTTTTTACTGTCAGTAAATATTTTTAAAAAATATTTAGACTTTATGTAACTTTAATTTTATTAATATTATATTTGAATTAAAATAGTTTTTTTATTGTAATGCCAAAAAAAATTAAGAAAGTATTATCCATTTCTTAATCAAAGTAGATATTTTATAACTAGACTCAGCCTTTTCTTGTAATCCAATCAGATAAAACGGTAGGCACTGTATTAGGTATTACAAAAAATAATGTACATATTATGTACAGAATCAATAATCATTTTATTTAGATGAGTTTTGAATTTTTTTATTAGTTAAATTTAATTATTTATGAAATTAAGGGTAGTATAATATTACTAAAAACAATTTGCAATTATCAGTTACAAGGTCAGCTAAACTTGACCACTTAAGCTAAATTTTGCACTGCTATACAAATCCATTCTAATTATTTATATAGTAATATGACAGCAGCTATCATCATCTTTAATTAACAATTTCAAATATTGCATTCTTAATGATGCACTTTTATTATACAAATCCCTTTTATGAAATTTGATTACTAAAAGCCTTTAAGTTAATTTTCTTATAATTGAAATAAATAAATATTACCTCTTCATTATGGTTAACAATAAGATTAACAACATTTTTTTCTGGTTTCTTCAAACTATTGCTCTGAAGTTCTGTGGTCACCTTAAACTACAACAAAAATAATAAATTATTAAACAATGTGAATTTTTTTTTTTTAATGTACAATATCTTAAGGAAGAAAAAAGAAACTTAGTGAATTTTTTCCTTTAAAAGTTAAGTTTATAAACAAAATAATGCATTTAAGAATATTAACCAAAATAGTGTACCAATATGAAGAACAAATTTTAAAAAAATTGCAAATACATGTTTAAAAAAAGTTTGGAATTTAATAAATATAAACTTTCTAAATTACATACCCTTTCAAATGGACTTTTGAGTTTCTGAATGGCTTCAATTACTCTCTGGGGTAATTTTTTTTCAGCTGTCATGTTTTCTGAAGGCTTAGACTAGAAAATATTTAAACCATAAAGAGTTATTTTCATAACTATATTTGTAAAACTAGACTGTATTCTCTTTGCAAATTCATTATAAAAATATTTTCACATAATCCACTTCAAAAAAATTAAGAAGTCAAAATAATTGGATTCTGACCAACACTGTTTTCAAATGCAGATTCTTTTTTCATAATCAATGGTTATGGTTTAACACAATTATTTTTGTTATAAGGATTATATTTAGGGATATTTTTTCTACAAGAGATCTAAAAAAGATGACATGCTTTTACTCAAAATTATTTTGCAAATTTTATTATGATTTACAAAGGCAAAAACTTTTAGTTGCAGGTTTTCCTGTAAGGAAAAATTGGTTCTCCCCCTGCAATTCAATGGGTAACCAGTGCAGAGCAGGGAATTTCAGTACAATTGCACAATTTTGCCTAAAGGTTCAAGGTTTGGAAGGTTAAGAAGCCATCTATAACACTAGAAAGGTTGAACAATGCTGCATGCCTAAAAAGACTGAAGGGGACAGTCTGGCCCTTCCCAGATTGCTTTAGTGCAGATCAATTAGACATCCAAAATCTTAATATATATATATATATATATATATATATAATGTTGCATATATATGATGTTCAAAATCTTAAATTTACAAAGAACTATATTAACTTTATCTTTCCAATTATAGCTATACACAAGTATCTCTGGTTATTTAGTTTAATTTTCTTTATATTTAATTATTGAAGATAAGCAGAGATGTTGATATGAAGAGAGCATAATAAAAACCGATTGGCAAAATTTATCCACCTCATTGAAATTTTGAATTAAATATTAGGGATACATCATGTAAAGATTTTTAAAGCATAATAAATATACAATCAACTAAATACATATGATAAACTAAAACCTCAGAGTTTTTGGTATGAAATTATCATGTGGTATAGAAAATTATTTCATTAACTAATGACTTAATACTTTTTTAAAGGAAAAGGAAATAAATAGTGTAGGAATTAAACAATGAAAATTATGACAAAATACGACAACCGAAGCTGACGTCTTCAGGTGTACCAGCTTCAGATGCCATAAATGCAAAGACTTTTCTATCGAGAAAGCACAACAAATGTCTAAATTTTACATTTAATTATAGGTTTTGCATTTATGGCTTCCAGAGCTGGTACCCACTGAAGACGTCAGCTTCGGTTGACATATTTTTTCATAATTTTCATTGTTTCTTTTGTATCAATTACTTTTGGATTTTCAGCTGCATAGCGCATTTTTCCACTGGAAGAATTGTTTTTAATTGCTTTAATTATTCTGAATTCTTTACTTAATTACGTAGGAATTACTTACTATCTTAAGATCTTTTGTAAACAAAGCACTTAGAGATGGCTTCTTTTTAAGTAATAATTCTGAATCATGATTTTGTGATCTAAGTGGCAGCATTTTTTCAGATGAGCCTGATAAAAAAAATGATATATCAATTAATTAATATAATATTTAAAAAACACACACACTTTACAATTAAAAACTGATGATCATTTGTTAAATTTAATTAAAATTATTCCGTGAAAAAACATGCAGTTAACTCAATAAACATGATAAAAATAAATGTATGCCTCCACAAATCCGGCAATTTTTTTCAAACGTTCTTCTATCACCTCCTTATCAATAAAATAATAGTAAAATAATATATATATATACAGCAAATAAAGAAAACTAATAAATTGCATGCATTGTGCATAGGCTGCAAGTATTAAAAATATTAAAAAAAACATGGAAAATAATAAAGATTAAAGAATAGAGAAGAATAAAAATTATTAAAATAAAATATTCAAAAAAAAAAATTTAAAAATATATATTGAAAGGTCAGAAAACAAAATAATTAAAAGATATATAAAATAATGAATACATAAATCCATATATAAATAATAATAATAAACATAACAGAAACTGATTTGGTAAACAGCTAAGAATTCACAATGCAAAAAGAAATATACTTAAATTTAGTATTTTAATTTTTAAAAAAACAAGATTTTAGACAAAATTCAAAATTTTTTTTTTATATTCATAAAACATAATAGACACTGGTTTGTATGTAGTAAAGAATTCTAAACTTAAGGAAACATACTTAAATTTTATATTTTAATTTATGAAAACAAGATTTTGAGTAAAGTGTAAAATTATTTTTTAACACAAATAAATGAAGAAAAATAAATTTTTTAGTACAGATCTAAACTAAATCAACTAAGCCGTTTAAGTATTAAAGTTGCATACAGCAAATTTTTAGCACTAAAAATTAAATAAATTGCTGAAAAATTCAAAGAACATACTTGATTCAGTATTGTGCACTTTCTTTTCTTCTAAATGATGGATATCATGAGGACAATCAATTAAACTACTTAGATCAATATTATTACTAGATTTTGGAATTTGAGCTTGTTGATGATAATATAAGGATTCAAGCTGTAATAAAACAAAATCGAATTATTTTAAGTATAAACTAACAAAAAATTCATTTAAAAACAAATTTCTAATGTATATGATTATTTGCTTTGCTTATTACCTGAAATAGTAAATTTAGCAAAGCTCAGTATGTATCAGAAATATTTAATTAAAAGGGAACAAGTGAGGAAAATGTGTGAACGCTTACATAAACAAGTTTTACATTTTGTAACATAAGAAACTTATCCAACCATTTTTAAACATTGCAATAAATGAACTTTAAAAAACAACGATAAATTTTTAACAAGGAATTTAACCTTACAATCTTGGTAGCAGAATCTATAAAAATCTAAATTTGTTTGTAAGCTTAATGCAGTCAGACAGATAATCATAAAATTTCAGCTTAATCTAACATACATGAAGCAAAATTTTCTTGAAGGTCATTAAAAATTATGCATTAAAACCTTATTTTATGTGAAGTTAAATTCAAATTTATATTTTGATACTGAAATAGATTAAATCTCAACACAGTTATGTCTGTAATCAATAGACAAAACTAAAAAATCTCTTTTGCTCTTAGAGGTGTTTACTCAATCCTGTTTTAAATTTTATTCAAAACAAGTTGAGAGATGTTTTAAAAAAGAGTCAATAATCCCCAATCCAATTTGATTGTTTGCTTCTTAAAAAGAAAACTTAGATGAAAATTAATCTGCTGCCCTGCAAGAGTGTATCTGCTGCCAGGCTTGCAAGGATCAGAAAAAAAAAGAATATAATGTATTACATAAAATAGAAGATCACCTCTTTTAATGAGTATTCATTAGCCTTCAAAATAATAGAATGCAGCTCATTAAGTTGCTGTTTCACAAGAGGTGGGATAGGATTGCAACAAGCTAAGATACCCTGTTGTTCTCTATAAGGAAATGCACAGAATTTATATAGAATAAAAATACAAATATGAAAACTATTAAGTAAAACTGAACATTACTATTTTTACAATCAAATTTAATAAAGAAAATTACCTAATAGAGGTTTTTATAATTAACTGTATTAGGATAATTTTAAGATTAACTATTAAAAAAAAAAGCAAAATCTCATTTAACTGAATACCTCTATGTTAACCCTTTTACAAATTTTTAATACACATGTTTTTTATACTGTTTTCATATTTTTTCAATAACTTAGATCAAAATAAGATAAAAAAAATACTATACTTAGCATTTTAATAACTTATGGTTATGAAATACAGCATGAAACACCAGTGCCTTTTTCCGTGTTGAAGGCAAATACTTACAAAGACAGCTCACTTCCAAATAAAATTTTTTTTAAATTTGTACTTATTCGTAGTTATTTAGATAAAAAAGAAACAGTTATTCATCATTAATAAATATAAATGCAATTAATTTTCAAAAAAAAAAAAAAAATTTAATTTTATTCAACAAATATGTCACATAACTTAAAAAAGATTAATTACTTAATGGATAACAACTTGTTATAATTTAATCCTAAACTAATAAGTTAAAAAAAAAAATCATATATTGTTAATGATGCAAATAAATTTTTATAAACCAATTTCGTGCTGTGCATTACTTTAGAGGTCAATTAAAACAGCAGCAGGAGGTTAACTCATAGAGAAAGATGTATTAATGAGTCATTGTCACTCTCTCTTCCTCCCTGTTTTTATCAATATATATAAACCCTGTCATTCCTAGGCACAGTCTTAACTCTTCAGGCAATTCATAAATTAATTATATGCTACCAATCAAAAAAGATAATTGCAATTAGTTTTTTTAAATGAATTTTATTTAGCAAATACATCAAAGAATTTAAGATTAATTACAGAACAGAAAACAATTCGTTATAATTAAATATTACACTTAGTTAATAAAACATATATAGTAATATTTTGTTAATGATATATGTCAGTTTTCATAAATAGTTTCTCAAAATAACAATATACGTGAACATATAACTAAAAAATAAGTTTTTGTTCAACACCACTTTGGCATTAAAAACAATAATCTAGTTTCTTGCTATTCTCGATATGTGAAATCTACTTTTCTTTATGAAAATTTACTGATAAAAAACTTACAGATTTTACCTAACAGTAGTTAGAAGATAAATGAAATTCAAATAATATCATATCACTTTATACAATATCATTTTTAAACATCTATTTTTTTCATTTATTATTTTCAATTGAACCTTAAAGTATAAGATCTAGCTTTTTCCGAAATTTAAGCTGGTGGTTTTTAAGGTATACATTTAAAGATAATATTAAAAAGGTAAAGCTAAGAGATTATCTTATTTAACAATTAAAAATTTAAACTACTGCTAATTCATTACTTTTAGTTAAGTCAATCAACTATAAAGCAACAAGCCAAAAATAGTTTTCAAAAAATTATTTAGAGATCATTAAGAAAATGCTTGAAAAGTGCCTTTTAATAAATATTATATTGCACAGACAAATAAACAAATTATTGACAGATATCAAAGTAAAATAATGACTAAAGAAAAGTGAGATAAAGGTCTTAATTACCTTGGTAGAGCTTCAGCAATTTGCAGCAGCATGTGGTTTGGCAACACATACCTAAAAGATAAATTTGGTAAAAAACCAAGGCAAAAATAAATAAAAATAACAAAAATAAATTTAATTTAATGTGCACTGCTGGAATTTCAATTTTAAATACAATCATTTCTCAAAATGTTCCTAACAGCTTAAAAATATGATCAGAAAAGAATTGAATTAATTTTCTTTATAATTTGAAGTTTACAAGATAATACAAACCCTTTATTTTAAATTCAGACAAAATATGAACGTTTTGGGAGCGTCTGGGTATTTTTCCAATAACACTTCAAGAATACTTGGTTGCAAAATCAAGTTGCTTTATACAATAAAGCTAATGTATCAATAATTCAATGTACATGCAGAGTCTTCTCCTTCTTCCTTATCCCCAAAATTAGCAGGGCAAAACAATGTCCATGAAATTCATGACCCGGAGGAAGTTGGCCACCAATTGGGTTATTTAGAATGTCCCTTTTGTCCAGTCCAGGATATGTAGGGGAGAAGCCTGCATGCTGAGGCACGTGGGGTAGTTTGGGAAGATTTTAACTCTACCCTCGAAAGAAAGAGACTTAAAAGGTGGCCGCTGGTAAGCGTCGTCTGGTCGTTGCGGTTGCACCGAATGTTGAGTGCACTTCCTGGACGGGTGCTCTGGTTCCAGTGATGTTTAGGGGGTACGAGCCAGAATATAAATGCGTGCAGAGTAAAATATTAATATAACTTCATTAATGATAAATATAGTTACATTATGTCAATAAAACTATTAAGTAGGCAATTTAATTATGTCCAACAAAAAAATTAAAAAAGATTTTAAGAATCCAAAACTGTTTTTCTTTATACCTAAATAAATTTTTAACACTTGATCTGTAGATAAAAAATTATTCTAGCATTTGAAGTTAAAATGATGGGGTTGAAAATTAGTTCACACAGGAGTTTAAAGCAATTTTCAATGAATATGCAATTACATTGATTAAAACATATTACTTATTACTCTTGTTTTGTAATTAAACATAAACAAATCAATTAAAATTAAGACAAATTATAAAAATTTATTTAATGTTGGTCTTAAGCATGGTCAGCAAAAATCACGGACGGGATTTTAAATATTCATATTTTTGAAACTAAGCAAAAATGAAAGTAACAATTAACAACTGAAAAATATAAGTAGGCCTTTTTTAAAAAAAATATAGGACAACTAAATACAGTCTGTAAATGTTTTTAATATAATCATAATAATTTATTACTTAAAAACTTATTGAATGTAATAACCTACCTCATCTATTAATTTTATGAACAAAATTACAAAGATTCTAATAATAGATTACTAATATCAAAACATATTTAATTTTTTCATTTAATGGATAAAATTTAAATTTTTACTTGTAAATAATATAATAAAATCCCTCTTTTAAGTTATTTTGATAAGAAACATTTTCTATGGTGAATTTTAAATTTTTTGTGGCCAGCATCTATCATAACCTGAGCTGCTTTCTTCACATATTTTTGTTTTATTTCATTATGAGATGGTTGGTGATCTTCATCAATCATTTGACTAGGCACTTGATGCTCTTTCTTCTAGGTTAGAAAGTCAATTAGGTTTTGCTTGTTCTTTTTGCCTTATGGGCTTTGTGTTTAGCATATATGCAACTGCATAAAATTTAATTATTTTTTGAGAAATACTAACATCTGTAACCTTTCCTTTCACAATAATTTTGGTTTTTATTATGCTCATTCTTGAACTTTTAGACAGTGTTTTTATTAGAAAGAGACCTACTTAAACTGATACATGTCCACGGGAGAATGAAAGACCGGCTTTGACAAAACTGTATCAGGTAAGATTCTGAGAGTCATTTAATTCAAAAACGTTCTTCCAACTTAACTATACTTAATGGTACACAAAAGTGTTCTTTAAATTCTTGTAGTTTTTCAACATTATTGGTTCATAAACAGTGTGTAAGAAATAACCTCATAAAAAGAAGTCAGATGACGTAAGATTTTAGGTGGTCATGTGATTGTGGATAAGACATTAGTCAACTGCAAACCCAAGATGCTGTTAATGAGCCACTGATGTGGAAAACAATGCAAAAAATTCAAAACTTAACTTCCTTTACCCTTGATAATTATTGCTTATAGTATAAAAAAATATTAAGAAAAAAAGTTCATAACATATTTGCAAAAATGATCATTAACATAGTGTTTTAAATACTCACAAAAGACTTTCATCGTATTCTCGAGCCATTCGATCTCTCCAGGAATAAATTTCTTTTAAACAGTACAACTGTTTACCATTGAACATTTTTCTACTTTTTTTATAAAGTTCCATGAATTTGTCATCACTGAATAATGGCTTTTGATATTTCTGAAATAAATATAACTAATGAATATTTATTTCAATTTGTTAAGAAATCATATATAGGAAATATATTTTATAGGCATAGTGTCTTATTTAAGCAAATATTCGAGTGTTTCATAAGTATTAATTGTTCAATTAAAAACACACATAAGTTCTGTTTAATGCATTTAATAAACAAATTTTATAATGCTTGCCTTTCATGCATTTATACAGAAAATTATTTCTTAGAATTATCACATCATTTCATTATATTTAAAAAAAAATTTCAAAAACAGTAAAAATATAAATATAAGTTGTAAGCAGTCAGTATTTTCTTAAATATGCTACAAAAAGTAATTAACATTAATCAAAACATCTAATGCAAAATAAAAATATTGAAAAATTTCCATGAACTATTACTTTTTTTTTCTTTCTAAAATCAAAAACTTTTTGAGATGCTACTATTTATGGGACAATTTTTAAAAACTCGAAGGAATTTTTATATTTATTTGATACTTACATTTTCATTGCAATAAATACTTTGCTGAAGCTTCAAAATTTATAGTTTATAATTTGTAAAATTTTAAGGAATTTATGATAACAAGGTGTCAATAGCATTAATCAAATTATATAATTTAATGCATAAAGCTCAAAGTCTTAAAATTTTTTAATAATAGTTACAAGTCTATAAAATATGCAATTAGTCCTCTTAAAGTTTAACATTAAGAAAAATATATTTTAATGAATTGTAAAGCTTTCTGCTTGCATTTAATAACTTTATTAAATTAATTTTTGGGCAAAAATCTGTAATGTTATTTTTGTAGAATGGAAAGAATAGATAAGATTTACCTTTAAGCAAATTGATTTGCTTCTTTCAAAGGTAGAATGCAACAGATTTTTCATCTCATTACCTTGATTGATTAAGTCATTTTTTAAACAGTCATAAACATAAAGTAAGTAATGAGTGTCTTCTCTAGCATACTTGATCATTTCTTCTGGTAAAGGCCTGAAATACACACACTTTTAGTAATTTTAAAAACCAAACGATGAATAGAATAAAGCTATCTATATTTTCATCAATATTTTAAATGTAAATTAAACAGTTTTTTCTTAAATCAAACAAACGACATAAAAAATCTATATTTCACAAAAGGTATCAAGGGCAAAAATTATAATTTTATATGCTACTACATAAATCAAACATTTATTAGTAAACACTTTTCTATCATGACTTTATCATTTTCCTCATTTTTTATTGAGTTTATCATAATTTGTAATTTTACAAAAGATGTAAAAAGGAGAACAAAACATATTATAAATTAACTAATAATTCCTAAAATTAATTAATAATATATTATAATAAATTATTACACTTGTGTTTACTATACTGTACTCATTCCAACTTCATTATTAATTTATCCTTTCCCTCACTTAAATACATTACTACTTTATCCTTTGCCTCGTTTATCTCTCACTGGACAAATTCAATTACAGGATTAAATAGGTTATCAAAACTTATAATAATGCCACCTGTAAACAATAACTAACCTGATACGCCAATCTGCTAACTGGAACTTTTTATCAACATCAAGTTTGCAATAATGTTTCAGGAGATAAGATAGAGATAAATGTGCAAAATGGAGAACTCTGGCAGCTTGTCCTGTATCAAACATATTTACAACATAGACACCGAAGTCCCTCTGTAACCAGAGAATATCCATATCTGCACCATGGAGAACCTGAAATATCATATAGAAGTAGTGAAGAAAGATGGACAAATATCAATAATAGTTTAGCACACACGCAATAAAATCAATATTTTTCACTTCAGCTAACGTTTATAAAAAATGAAATAGTATCTGAAGCTAAAAAAAAAAACAGATTGAATAATTTACAGACAAATTGGTAACAAATATCTGATAAATAACACAAAGTTAATAAATATAAAGACTTTTATAGTAAAAAGAAATTAAAAAAATAGATATATCCTTAAGCAATATTTCCAACCAAGCAGGACAGAGTGGAAGCAACATTGCTATTCTTCATTAAAATTTTGGAGGGAAAATAAACTTTTAAACATATTAAACAATAATTTTTCTAAATGTTTTTTCTGATGACAGGACAATAATGGTCAACTTATGGTGACTGGTATCAAATGCGATTGATAATCGAGACAAATTTTTTGCTTTTCTTTAGAAAAATATTAAAGATGTTTTACTAATAGTGCTATTAAATAAATAATCCAAACTGATATTACCTGATTAAAAACTTTTTTTGTTTTAAAAATATATTTAATTTGGAATTAACAGGTGACATGTTTCAAGTGCTCAAAAACAGGCACCCATTTTAAGACATGCCAGACATGAAGAATCAAAAGTGATTTGAAATATAAAGCGAAAAGGAGCCAGCAAAAAATGGAAAAATAAAAGGGAGAAACAAAACTAGAAAAACCAACAGTGGTCAAGATGGGCAAATCAAGGTAGAATGCATTTCCACACACCCTTGGCCACTGTTTTTTTATTTTTTTCTTCCTACATCGTTTTTCTCCTTTGGGTACTGTGGCTTTTTAGTTTCGTTTTACCTTTTATATTTCAAACCACTTTTTTTTTCTTCTCATCCACATCCTACAAGTCTTGAAAATGAACACCTATTAGTTGAGTGCTTGAAACTTGACGACTGTTTTTTTCCTATTTATATATTTTTGAACTGAATGAAAATTTTAATCAGGCATTACTAGTGCTATTGTTTGTAGGGTTAATGAAGAGGGAAAAAATGGAATGGAAGAAAATAATGTTAGGTTTAATTACACTTTAATTTAGACAGGCAAAACAGTTCATTATGTAAACAGAAAATAAATTAATTACCTTAACAATCTTAGGGTCCGTAAAAATATCATTTAAAACAGGCAACTGACTTCTAAGAGCTAGGACATCCACTATGTAATCTTTACTGTGAGAGGATATTTGCATTAGGCAAGTAAAGCCTTGGAAACTTCTATATGAATGATGCTAAGAAGAAAAATGCATAATTCTGTTTAAAACACACATATGATTCTAATGTGATGACTGTACTGAGTGTAAAATTATTTTAATACCTCTAAATCTACCGCAATCTCTTTTTCTATTTTTAATTCCTGGCACATTTCTTTCAATAGCATTTCAGTGTCGACAAACATATATGGGGTTTCCTCCAAGGATTTAGGGAACTAAAAAAGATAGAAATGCATAAATATTAGTAAACATATAAAAACAGGTATATAAGGCATATAAATAAAGAAATTAAGAGTATTAAGATGATGTCACAGTAATATGATTAGGTATTTTGGAACAGCTATTTTCAATAATTTCATAGTAAGGATTTACTTAAAACAATTTTCATAAATGTACACTTCAATGCAACGTAAATAATTTAATAGTGGTAAAAATATAACTACCAACTTCCCATTTTTAAATACATATTAATTTTCTGAGAGATATGAGATTGTAGAGCAAAATTACAATGAATTCTAATTACAGCAATATTTCAGGATAATAAATTTAACATTATCTGATACAATAAATAAATACCAAATCGATTAACTGTATTAATCAAATACTTATAAGTAAATACTTTTGAAATAAATTATTTAATGCCTGATAAAAAAGTGCATTCATGTGATGCGTTAATTTGTATTGTTATGGAAATTAGTTTTGTATATTCTATACAGTTAAGAGGCAAGTGCTTAGAGATTATAATTTAGAGAAATTTAGAATGTAGAATTAATCAATTTAGCTAGTGAAGCATTTATAAATAAATACAGACAGTTAGAAATTTTGTAACTTATTTGGTATTTAATTATTTGGTATTACTTATTTGGTATGGTATTTATCGGACTTAACCTGCACTCAACGAATGATCCATGTATTGTATTCAAATGAATCTGTTAAAATTAATTTAAAATTATAGTCATATTCAATAAAAATGATAAATAAAATGTTCAAAATAGCTTAATTAATCAAGTTTACAATAAATTATTAAACTTTTAACAAAAGGAATTATTACAAACATCAAAAAATATAGCAATTAAAAACTTTTTAATATTATCTTGAAATAATGGAACGTTCTTAGACGAAAAGTATGAATTTAGAAGTTTATACTACTAAAATATAAAAGTTTTACAATGAATATGAAAGATTTAACAAAATTGTCGATAAAAAGTTCAGTTTGATTTAAAAAAACTTATTATTCTAATAACTCCCTAATATACCACATCAAACCACCTGAGTCACCATTACTGGACATAAAAATTTATTAATTCCTATATTTCAAGTTGATATTGATAAGCATTATATGTTTTCAAAACTTTAGAGTTGGATCTATGGTTATTTTTCAGCATCCATTGAAATATAGCAAAAAATTGAGGAAATTTTCTAAAAAGGTGAGACGAAATTATAGGTCTGTGGTAGAACTTCATGCTTGAATATATGAAATATTGAATAAATGTAATAGCAGATGGTAAAATTACAAGAAAATACAGGCTGACATAAATCTGACAGAAAAACTAAGGCATAATAAAAGCTAAAGAAATATTTTTTGAGAATGTGATAAAAAATTGAGCTAAACTCAACGAATAAAGTGATAAAACATTTTTCTGTGAGTATGGTTTAACAGCTGCTAAATCTTAACTAAATATCAAAACATTTAGAATTCAAGTAACTTTCAAAAAATGGTTAGCCTATTTATAAGTTAAACGAGTTCTAATTTTTGCAATTATCAGCATACCACAACGCATAAAACATAGCCAAACTTGTAATTCGGAAATGCATAGCTTAAGCAAGAATTTTTTTGAAATTGAGCCGAACAATTCAAATACTGATATCAAGAAAGTGGTTAAACAATCTAATGCTTATGCAGATCACTTGAATAGAATTTTTATTTTATTTATTTATTATGCAAAATGAAATTTGAAAAAAAATAATATTCTGGAACAGAAAAGCATGGGTGCTATTTTAAGGGGGGTGCTATTTTAATTTATTCTAAAGAAATTAAAAATTGCAACTTTCTATATAAAAGGTGATTAAAAAAGCTTAAGCATAGTAAGAAAATTGATTGGCACTAAGCTTAGAATTTATAATTTTATTTCAAAAAAAAAAAAAAAAAAAAAATTTGATAACACTATCTATGTTTAAACTAAGATTACTTGCAATTTTTAGTGAATATGAAACAAAATATAATATGAGTTTTTAAAAAAAATATAGAACTTTACTTTGATTAACAAACAATATTTCAATGAAAAAAGTTTAAATAATTGAAAACCTGCAGTATTTCTTTAAGCAAAAAAATTGAATTTCCTTTTTAATAGTTTAGAATACACAAAAATAGATTAATATTAACCTTGAAAAACCCCAATTTTAAAGTTCTTATTCTTGGAAATAGTTTAAGATTTATTTTTGAATTACATAGTCAAGGTAGTTTACTCAAGAAAACTTACAACTAATTCAGCTTCTTGGAGATGCTCCTCTTCAGGATTGAATTTTTCAATTTCTAATTCATATGGATGACAAAACCTAAGAATAATATTTTGAAATAATTTTTAAAATTTGTTTTACATTAGAACTAAGCAATAAAAACTACAATAAATAACCATTAAGTTATGAATCGAACAATTCATTCTTTTATATCTTTTGAAAATAATCAAAATTGATAAAACTTTAATTAATATGGCAGAACAAACTTAGAATATTTTTTTTTAATAATAGCAAATTGCAGTTAAATTGGCAATTAACTAATTTCTCCTAGCAGAAACTGGCTGTTACCACTGTATTCCTGTTTTGAATTGATATACCTGTTAACCATACATTGAGACACACATATTCATATCATATTTGTAAACTAAGATTACATAATTCTACTAAGAAACACAGATTTTTCGTTAAAAAATTATTAATTTTTTGAAAAAGTAATAAAAATCATTTTTAAAATCATATGAGCATTAACTTTTAATACTTTTACTAAGTCAAAATAATAAAGAGAATTTTGTCAATAATACTTTATCTGATCATCCCTATTAATATTAATATAATTAAAAAAATATCAAAGCTTTTAAACATACAAGATGTTAGATACTCTTTTTACTTTAATAACATGAATAATAAGCCAGATGTCAGACATACATAAAATATTAGGTTTTTTTTTAAACAAAACTGTAAAGATACAGTTGATAATTAAAAATGAATAATTATAAAAACCTAAGCTTTATTTAGTGAATTTGCAATGAATAAATAAGATAAGTAAAGGAAATTATAATCAAAATATGCTTTTAAAATTAACTTACTCTTCTTTATCCTCATTTTTCTCTAGAGTGATAGCAAGAGGTTTTATAGAATTGGGCTTTTCTTTGATAACAGGCACAAAAATTGTGTTGCTGTTATCAATTTTATCCTTAAATAACAGCTGAGGTCTTGAAATATTTTTGGCTGTCAATAACTTGTAACTTGACGGACTTCCTAAGTTAAATTGCTAAAACAATTGTGAAAAATATTAATAAGCTATATAATAACGAACTAAAAAGTATAAAAACTTTTTACCTACACATATTACTTTAATATTTAAACATCAATAACAGTAATAAAATCTGAATTGCAACGTACAACCCACTTAATACTGAAATTTCTTAGCTCTTACTTCTTAGTTTTCGGTCCAAATCATATTCATTTCATTTAATAGATCATGAAAAAAAGTTTTGAAATAATTTCTAACACCATTTATGATTTTTCTAAAATAACACAAATAGAAAGATAATGATTAAATGAAGATTGAATTATTCCCCAATCGTTAATTTAAATCAGTTTTACAATGATAACTATACTTAAAGTTAATAAAGTCATTAGTTCACTTAAGTTAGTAAAATTTATGCGCATGTTCCATGATGTTTCTCACCAAATAACCATAATATTGCAGAAATAGGCAGCCGTGGTGCATACCCCGTGTACTTATTTGATATAACCCTTGTTGAATAGCTGACCCAATTTTAGGGCTTAAGACTTCTAATGTTCCACTCTGTAGCCTTGTAGTTTTGAACACAATCCAGAAGACAAGGGAACTCTTGGACCAAGTATAGGGAGAAATTTGCCAGAGTGTATTTTGATGGAACTAAGCCGCATTTGCGTTACATGGAGAGGAAAACATCCCATGGTTAGTCTAACGGCAAGGGAACTCCAACCCATGATCCATCTACCACTGAGAATATTTCACATCAGCACTGTGGTAGGTATAAGCCGGGTGCTTAATTCGTATCGACCAGTCATCGCTGGGATTCGAACCCAGTTCGAATCCCGCTTTCATTGGAAGGCGAACGCTCTATCCCCTGATTCACCATGGTTCACATCCCTCAGAAAAATGATTGATTTGCTTTTTTCATAAATACAGTAGCTTTTTGAGTAATTATTAAAATAAACTCCCTCAAAAAATACAACACATGACACAACTGTTTACTTTACTTACATTGCACAACAGCTGCATAATGACAATTAGGGACGGTTTGGGAAATTTCCCCAGAGGATGATCTGAAGACATGCCATCAGGATTGGTGAGGCCACTTCCTCAATTGAGATATAGATCTGAAGGGCAAGAAAATTCAATCCAGAACCTTGTACACATGTTACTGCTCAGTGACTGACTATAGGACTTTCGATTCCACAGATGTTACAAAAAAATATCTACATATATATAATTGATTTGGCGAGCACTCATAAATATAAATAGATTGTTAGAAATTTTACATGTATACGTATATATATTTACTTAGATTTTATAATAAATGAATAAGATAATAAATTATGTTAATTAAATCCTGAAAATTATATACAGTTAGCATGTTTTATTTCTCCCGTAATCTAATTTTTATAATAATATTTGTAAATTAGAATCATAAGAATAAGCCACTACTTTGCAAAGTTTACCTTTTTGTTCCAACTTGTATTAATAGCAGTGGGTGGCTTAACAGCAATAATGAGATCTTCTTCAGATTTCTTTTCACCAGAAGCTTCGTCCAAACAGTTACTCTAAAAATATATCAAAATTTAAATAATCAAAAAGCTGAATGAAAATAAATATAATGAAAAGGCCTTTCATTAGTTTTACTATTTATTGATATTGAGTAGGTATAAAACTTTTTAATATAGAAGTTTGGCTTACTGCATTTTCCAATATTGAGTCATTTACTTCTATTAAAAGATCTAACTGATCTTCAAGTTCAAGACCTTGAAATTTTTCACGAATCCCATGAGCCTGTATAATGGAAGTCATTCTGCAACAAAAATATTTATATGAGTATTTAGTGCATATAAAAATGAATAATAATTAGAGTGATTAGCAATTGGAAAATAAAAGTAAGAACTGTTGGAAATAATTAAAGAAAACTTTTAAAAATTATCACAGGAAAATTAAATTGTCTTTAAATATGAGTACTAAGCATTTCACTTGACTCACAAAAAATTCTATGCTTGGGGATAGTTTCTATTTTAGGGATTGGCTGCATAATACAGAATACCTTGAATTTCCAATGAACATAACACATATCTTAATTTTTTTATTCCATGCGATTGATATCTGTTGAAGATTAACAAAAAAAGATATATTGTTCATTGAAATCTACAAAATGTCCCATTGAGAACTTAACAATCAAGGATTACATAAGTATTGAACAAGAATGATTAGCATCAAATGATGTTTTCATAAAAGTACAAAAGATACTGTTTTATATTTTTATAATTAAGAAAAATTATACTTTTATTTTTAAGGTGCTAAATTTATGCCAGTTTGTAATATGATTTTTATGCATATTCCTTGTGACATTAAAAATAAATATTGTCAGTGGTAATTGCGACAAAAAGTTATAAAACTTGAAAATTTTACGTGCAAAAACTCGATAACAAAAATATCAATTTATATGCTATTCATATTTAATAAAAAATTTTAAATTAATATTTATAATTAAATCACCTACCAGTAAAGAATATCATAGTTTTATAGTAACTAATTTTAGAAAAAGCTTAGTTAAGTTCTATCTTACAAGAATTGTGATATCGGATTTTAAAATTGCGTAAATATGAATCTTGATATTGGAATCTAAAATTGCATGAATATGAATTGTGATATTGGATTTAAAAACGCAAAAATACAAATTGCAATATTGCCTTTTGAATAGCATAAATATGAATCGTGATGCATGGGTTTTTAGATCTTGTGAATACGAACAGCGATATTGGATTTTAAACTTGCATGAAAACAAATTGCGATATTGATTTAAAAAGCATATAAATACAAATTGCGTAATTGGATTTTTAAATGAAGTGAATCACAATTGCGAAAGAGAAATTATTCAGAGAACTGAAATTATAGTATGTCCATTTCTACATGGCATCAAGCTCACGGCTGCATAGTGTACATGTCACAAAGTATACACAATCTTTTTGGATCTCCCATCTTTATTTACAAATCACAAAACACAAGATTATTTAGTGACAAAATTTGCTTATAAATCAGGACTTTGAAGTTAGAATTCTTGCCATGTTTATACTGAGGGATTTTGTTTCACATTCTATGAATAAGAATCAAGAATCACCACTGAGATGATAGACAAGATGTCGCTATTTAAATGCAATACTAAACGAGGTAATATTACACGTTTTTCAACTTATGTTAATAGTCAAAAGAGTATTCTTCAAGAAGTATTGAATATATATTTGTAATCGCTTGGCAACTGCCTAAAATGAAATTAAATTAGCAGAAAAATTAATAGTTTATTTTCTTATGAAGAATATGATAACAGAATTGCCTAATGTGAAAGCTACATGGATACTGCTAAAGTGCTTATTTTTCAAACCATTAAAATTTTTTAAAGCAAATCAACTACCAATAACCTTGCAACCTTGACTATAAATAAGATGAATTTGGCAAAGAATTTAAGAGTCCTCTAATACAACACTTGTTAACCAATCCTACACAATGAAATTGTCTATAATTAAGTTAGAATCATTTAAAGGCAATATAGAAAAGTAGCAAAGGTTTTGGGAACAGTTTCAATCTTTTGTAAATTCTAATAAAAAAATTTAGCTATTGATAAACATGTTTCAAAGGGACTATTTGCAAGATGATGAGATTTTCATTTTCATGGCATTTTGGATTAATAGAAGTTTCTGCTACTGGAAAAAGAACATGAACGAAGAAGATAATTATCTACGAATTTCAAAAGCAAAATATGAAGGGAAAAATTTAAAACAATAATGATTATTAGGTACAGTGAACAGTGCCACCACCAACGACAAAAAAGAAAAGGAAAATTTTATTTATTCCCCATAGATTTTATAGAATGTCAACCCAGGATTTAACATATGAAACAGTTGATACAATCAAAATTTTAATTTTCACTCCAAATCTGCTGCAACTTACTAATGGTTAATTAACGTTAGAAATAAATGATAACTAAAACTTATTGAAAATAGTCTAGTTTTTGATTATATCTTTCAAGGGAACAAAATCCTTTCATATTATATATTTAAGGTTAAACCTTAATTAAAAGTTTAATTTTAATTATCTTAATATAAAGTTATGCTAAAACTATCTAATGTAATTTGCACATTTTCAAATACTTTTTTAAAAAAACAACGACTCAGTTTTACTCAAACATACGACTCAGTTTTCAGTGATATTTGTTTTATTTTGCCTTTCAAGAAGTGTTTTTAATTAATTCTCGGTAGAATTAGTAATGAATCAATTACTAATTGCATTGTTTATCGTACAAAAAAAAAACATTTATATTATATTAAATACAACCTAGAAAAGGACCTAGACCTACATTAAGAAAAGGACCTAGAAACTTTGAAAGAACAATTCTTAAGTACAGGTAGTTTTCAAAGTCAAGTACTATCACTAGCAATAAGAATAAATTAAAACATCTTAGTCACTCAACGTTATCATGATAATAACAATAACATAATACTGCTACTGCTAATTCCATAGTAATCAAGATTTTTAACCTAAGAGCATAGTTTTATTAAATATATTTCAGTTAAAATTTCTGAATTCATTTTTTTAAATGCTTTCATTTACTATAAAATTCTGACAAACAAATAGTTTACTCTAAAACTATCTTTTTGCAATAGTATTTTGTTAATGAAAAAAGCGCCTTAATCTCTTAAGACTTACTGAATAAATACAAATAAAATACTTACAAAGATAATATAGATTTTCCTTTCATTTGCAATACTGATTTAAAGCCTGGAAATGTACTGTAATAATCAAAGTTATCACCAGAAGAGGGTAGCTCATTTGAAGCTTTTGTTGCCCCAACAACAGTTCGAAGCACAGTCTGTAAACATAACACACAGCATTTTATTAAAAAAATATAGAAATCAATGATCACACAAAGCACTGAAGTTACTCATTTTTAAGAATCTGTTTTTAGTAGTATATCACATGAATGTAATTATAATATATTTACAAGAGTGCAAAGATAGGTCAGCATTTTGATTGATAATAGCTAAATTAAGCTTAAGATCTGTTGTAAACTGTTAGGTTTAAAAATAAAATAAAATAAAATAAAACATGCAAAGAGGAGTTTTTAATTAGAATATCTGAACAGTAAATAGAGTTATATACTCTATAGTACTACTTATTTTTAACTTTGTAGCTTTTTGTATAAAATCAACACACTTTATGTCTATATTCATAAAACAAATACAGAAAAAAATATTGAATTGAACTAAAAACTACAGTACCAAATCAATAAAATGTATTACCATATGTGACAAAAATTTTTTTTTAAAGTTAAAAATATATATTTTTTAATATTAATACCACAAATACTTTTAATACAGTCCAACAATCACTTAATTAACAAAATTGTACAAATGATGGATAATACACAATATATCAGTTATGTTTATAAAAATCAAGTAATTTTATTTTGTTCATTATTGTGCAAAACTTTAAAAAACATTAATTTTAATTGAGTATGTTAGCTCCAAGACCAACTTCAGTTCCACACTCTATTTGGGAACTCTTGGCGACTTTTTGAAACCTTGCCAAGTTAGCGATTATTAATGGGATAAACGTTGCTTTTTGATTATTAAAAAAAAAATAATAATTTATTATTACAAACTCATTAAAATATTTTTAATAGAATAAAATATAACTACAACTTTACTCTGATAGCAGTGCTCTTATTAATTTTGACTTAATTCACAACAAGTTCATTCATATATCTTCCAAACCGAAATGGTGAAAAAATAAACCCTTTTATCTCTTTTGTAACCAAACCTGAATTTCGTGTAGGTATATATATATAATAACCAATGAGGTTAAAGAATTTTGGGGGTGTGATCAGAGATTCAAAATAATCTCCCCGAAATATCTTCCGGAAATCTAGTATGGTGAGATTTAAAAAATCGCCACAGGGTGGGCAATTCTAGAATCTATCCGAAACAAGAAAAGAATAAATTAATTCCATACAGACCTAGACAACAATTGCATATTTGGATTCCTCTTATCTCCGGAAAAATAAATACTTGTGTTTTATTCTGTTTCTCAACAAGGTTCACTATTTCTCAAACACAATAGTATTGGACACAATAGTAAAATCGATAATAAAAACTATAATAGCAAAATCTATAGTAAAAACCATAGTTTTGATAATGGATAATAAGTGTATTCATTATTAAATTTTGGAAGGTTAAGACAGCACATAATATGACTTGTTTTAAATAAACATTCAAAATCCCAAATCTGTTATTTAGGATTCCAGAAAATATGCTGATTCTTGATTTATGAAATCATTGTAAGATTCAAGAATTTCCTATTTAGTGTACAGGAACCTGAATTACACCTAAGGTTATTGGTATATTCTTGCATTTAAATTATGGGAAAACAATTGAAGATAACAAAAAAAATTAAGACTTTGGAAAATGTTTTCTATGCAAACTTTTAATTAGTAAATTCAGAAGCAACGAGTGTTAGGAAGTTGAAACAAAGCTAACAAATTTTCCCCACAATATTTATTTAAACAGGCTGCTATGCATATGAATTGCTGAAAGATATTTTTTAAAAGAAATACTACAAAGACTTTATAAATTCTGATATTTTATAAAATCACTGTTTTATATTTACATCCCTAAATAGACTAGCTTTAAACATCAAATAACTATAATAGGTTAAATTCCAAATTATTATTAGAACAGTCCGATAAAATAAGTAATTTTATCATAGGTAGGTAAACACAATATATAAATCTAGGTATGTATAATCAAGAAGAAATATAAACTTGCTTGTGAAAAACTAGAAGCGTCTTTAAAACCAGGAACAAAGAATGACTCTTCTTCATCTGCTTCAATGACAGAATCATCCATGTTTCCGTTTTTTATTACTTATATTTTATTAATATTTAAAAAAAACTTAAATTACACAACTTAACATGCAAAAAGAACCGAACAACGATGTAAACAAACAAATCAATACTTATTTCGCGAGTTTAGTTGTAGACCTCTTACTTCTATTAAATTGAATAATGTTTAAAATCAAAGCAAGCATTACCACAAAAGTAAACTTCTACTTAAATCATAACTTCATGATCACATGATGTTGGAGATCATAGGAACCCGCATGAGGAAAAGAAGGTTTTATCTTCCCAGTGGCAATGAAAAACTATGAATGAAACTGTACTACTATCGTAAAAAAGTTGTTTTTTTTTTAGCCATTTTTTACAGTAAGAATTTAGTTGTTGTTATTCCGAAATAAATTATAATAATATAACATATTATAATTGTATAACATTATTTCGCATTATCATCTAAATTTTTAAAAACACTTCCTTAAAATCTTAATCCATATTTTTGATAAATAAAAAAAAACATATAAAAAGTTCCATATCATATTAAAAAGCGTAAACAGAAAATGAATGATTCTATTTGAAACATTAGTAAATTTAGACACCCCATTTAAATGTTAATAATGTGTCTGAAATATATATTTGAAGCTAGAAAGTTTATTATTGTCGTTTAAATTTAAAATTTAAACAATGATTGAGTGCAAAATGTTTTTCATTTTACTTAAAAAAAATTTGGAGATATAGCGAAATACGCAAGAGGTAAGGTTGACGTTAAAGAGTTTAAACTTCCGACCGCTACGATCCTGACTAAACTATAAGGACTATATTTCCTAGATCGCTGCTACTCCCTACCTCTTATATTTTGGATTCAGAAATCTTAATCCGTCAGAAACAGGTACGTTTATTCAGAGAAAGCACGTTTTTGTACCTGATTTTGTAAGTAAGTTAGAATATCGTCTGCATTAGTTAATTAGTATAAGTTAAGTCATTTCCTCGAAATAATAGGATTAAGCCCTAGTACATGAAAAGTCGATCACTAGATCAGAAGTTGTCAAGGTGTTTCATTTCCCTTTTACGCATAGTACAGTAAGCAAAATGAAAAACGGAATACTTTAATAATTTTTGCTTTACTGATTTAATAACTAACCTTTTAACAAACTAAGATACAATCTATTGTAATCTGTNAAAAATATTCAATTAGAAGATGTGAAAAATGTATCATAATTAAAGAAATAATTTTTCTCCAAGTCTATTCGTGTTTCTTTAATTTTTAGAAATCTCACTTAACTTTTTGAAATCTCACCCTGTGTTTGAGAAAGGGTGAGAAATTCTCACCCATTTTTTTTCTGCAATGAATACACTGTAAGCCCTAGTACATGAAAAGCCGATCACTAGATCAGAAGTTGTCAAGGTGTTTCTTTTCCCTTTTACGCATAGTACAGTAAGTAAAATGAAAAACGGAACACTTTAATAATTTTTGCTTTACTGATTTAATAACTAACCTTTTAACAAACTAAGATACAATCTATTGTAATCTGTGCTAAGATATTTTAAATTGCAACTGGGTCAAAATGATTTGAGCATTCTTTTTCTTTCGAAAATTCGGATTTGTGATCCTCAAAAGAGGAAAAGAGAGTAGCCGGAATTTCGAAAGTGTAGTTCAACTAGTTCAGTCAGAAGAGCAATCGAAAGTTTGGGTTGGACCGCTTTAAGCTAATTTCATTCTTTGAATATTTCGCTATATTTGCACACTGTTTAAAGGTTGTTCATCAACGAAATTTTGCTAGCATTATTTACCAAACGACTGAATTATCTACATACACAGATATTCAGTTGAAATTTGAGGATTCTAGCTTATCGGAAAGTGATTAAAATAGTGATGGACAAAATATTTTATTTGATTATAAAAGTAAATTATGCGAACGTGATCGAAAGTTGGGTTTTCGATAAAATCTCTTTGGTGATGATATGGCTATATAGTCTACTTGCAAATGACTGATTGAAATTTGAGATATCATCCAAAACTTAGTATCGTTTAAAATAAGCACTCTAGCTAATCAGGCAGAAGTCGAAATTTAGGTTGTCTATAAATTTTATGCAGTAATTATATATTGATAAATTCTGTTTATAGCAAAATTATCGGAAAAAACAATTATTTAATTTGTTATCATGATCGGAGCTATAGATGAGGTGCACACACTTTAGTTTTTCGGAAAGTGCCGGATTTTTACCATTGTTATGCAGCACAGACATTCGGTTAAAATTTTAGGGATATAGCTAGTCTTAATCTGGTTAGAAAATTTTGATTGACCTTAAGTTCTCTCTGATGGTACTACCGTGACAGTGCCTGGTTAAGGATTGAATCTTGCATTGACATCGGGCACCAGCATCAGTATAGTTTTGAGAGCTCTAGCTAGTTGGAAAGTAGTCTAAATTTGACTGAAAATTACATCGACACAAATTTTAATCCTATGAGATTCCATCTCAAATATAGCAACAATCCATCGAATTAATAAAAAATGAGGTAAAATAAAAAGTGTACTTTAATGAAGATAAAAATATTTAAGTGATAAACTACGTTTATAAAAATAGCAAAACAAACTTTTACCAAACTAATTTGTAAAGTTATAATTTACTCTTATTTTTAATTAAAATGTTATTCAGTTTAGTTTCATTACTTATCTTTTACTCAAACAACGCATCCTTCTAAAAAAAAAAAGAAAAAAAGAAAGAAAGAAAGATTGAAATAACAACAAAAATTACTGCGCAAACGAAAAGTTTCCAATTTTCCACATTGAAGAGAGAAGTATCACCAAATGTAGTAATAAATTCCACTCTTTCTCTAGAACAATAAGTCAACTTTTCGTTTTGTGATGTAGCTAATTTAACTGTTAACAGAGCTTGTTGTTGTTAATTTACGTTGCACTAGAGCTGCACAATGGGCTATTGGCGACGGTCTGGGAAACATCCCTGAGGATGATCCGAAGACATGCCATCACAATTTTGATCCTCTGCGGAGGGGATGGCACCCCCGCTTCGGTAGCCCGACGACCTGCGCGCGAAGTCGAGCACTTTACGGTAGCACAGTTTAACGAGGACCAATACCGCAGACCCAAGTCCCTACTCAGACTGATCCAAGTGGTCACCCACCCGCACACTGACCGTAGCCAGTGATGCTTGACTTCGGTGATCTGATGGGAACCGTGTCTTAACGATCAGTCCACTGCGGGACTGTTAACAGAGCTAAGCCAAAGCGCAACGACCGGTTTCATATCTTTCTGGGCTTCCGAGTTTTTCTCATTATGAGCCAAATATTTACATTGGAAATGAAAAAGCTAAGAGGCTCTGTACTGCCATGGCACTCTAACTAAAGTTTGAGGAACTCTAGTCACTATACCTTAAAAGCTTTAAAAAAAAATAGTTTACTAATTGCAATTTTTTTACATGTGTATGTTGGATGTTTCGAAACTAACGGTCACAAATGAGAAATAGAAATCTTAACGATTGAGAATTGTGTAGCAACTAATGACCAGAAATGTCATCATATGGTGGGATCCTTACAGTTTGTCTATGTGAAGAACTCCCCTAGCCATTAGTCTGGAAAAGTGGCGGGGACTATAGTTACGAGGTTTAACTATTTCAAGTAGTGGTATTGGCTCATTATTTCTGCTATGGTCAGGTTTCGGCTCGGATCAGCAAGAGAAAGGAAATCAAAATCTCTTTGAAATGTGCTATTTCTTGTTTCCATAGCAGCTGACGGCGTTAGACTTTATGGCGAAAGGAGTTCTTTTTATAGATAAACTGTACCACTAGTTGTGGGAATTTAAACCAGTTTTTTAATTTATCTAAATTAGCGGTTCGTAAAAGTTGTTCAACTGAACCATATGACTCCGCAGAAGGATCATTGAGGTTTCGGGAATTTGGATTTTTTTAATAACAAATTATAACTCTTGAAACCTATTATTATATCAGATCAATAATACATAATCAACTTGATATTTTAGTTATTTTTTAAGAAACATTTAAACGATTTGACAATGAAAAAAAAACAGTAAAATTTAAAAAAATAAATAAATGCATAAACTCTAAAAATAGCAAAGCTAAAAAATATATATTATTTAATAACAATATATTGAATGAATTATGAAAACGAATAAACATCGAAAACAAATACCTATGAATTTAAATTTTCCTGCAATTAGAATTTATCAACCAATTTTTAAAACTAAATTAACTAAATTTAGCATTTAAGGATTATGTTTTCCTATTAATCATTCCCAACTTTTATAACAGTTCTTTTTCATTTCATTTCAATGAAAATCCTATTTCAGCTTGTTTTATTAAATCTTAGCCTATGCAACACTGGAAATTAATTCAATACCATACCAGATGCCACTCCTGGCCTACAAAACTCAACTGTCTAATATAAAATCTAATTTTAAAGCTATTATTGATAAAATGATGGAAAATTACATTCTAAATATTAAATTCAAAGTAATTCGTAATTAACTATATTAATTAAATATTTTCAAAACAATTGGTAGTTTTGCTTTGATTGATGCGGATACAACTACTATTGATCTTTAATTATGAAATCGATGCTCCGCATACATATAGGGTACAGCAGTCTAAAACATATGAAAACTGCAGATCAAACTCATCTTAATTTTACGGTTTTGTTTTCTAATGAGTATTGTGAATGAAGTGTACGGTAATATTGTTCATAATAATAATAATAATAACAATTCGGAGCAATGTGTCAGCGTCAATCCTCCTGTATACTATTTCAAGTATTTATAAAGCCCTCCGATTATTTTCGAATGCCCTCCAATATCAAAGAGAAAATTATTTAAATATAAAATTAGTATTATATTACTTTATTAATAGTTTTCTCCTTTTATGATAATTATGTATTTCAATACAAATTAATTAATTAAAAGTTTTTTTTAATAAAATTATAGACTCGATCATACCTAACAGGAGAAAAGAGTGTGATTACAATAACATAGCAAAATTCGTTCACATAATATGGTCTTATTGGTCATTACGTTAGATATCGTCCAAGTCAGTTTGAAAAACGTATTATTGGGATATCAAGTTTAAAGTAAAAAATACGTCTGAAAAACTGCTTAATTCAATTTTTTTTA